TTTCATCTCTCCTTTGCTGTGTGTCTGTGTTTTTCATGCTTATTCCTATGAATTGGAAAAGAGACTTTTCACTTATTTCAAAAACAGCATGACAAGCCAAAACACATGGTGACAAAATACACAAAGTTCGCAACCGAGCGTAAATAAGCGTTGCATTAGTTAGGTTCAAGAGGCATGCAGCCAAATTTGACTTTGTTTGTTTCATCAAATGAAGTAACTTAGGTCGAATAACAAGATAGAACAAAAATGTATTGTATTTGATGTTTGCAATAATTGTAGTGTTTTCTTTTATCATTTAAACATCTCTTTAAACCCCTGAAAGTACACATCTGTAAAGCTGTCTGAGCAGGCCTGTGATGAAGTTTCGGGTCAAAACTCTGCCATGAAAGCGCTATGATCATCAGCTCCTCTCCAAGTGAGGTTGAATGGCTGCCTACAAAGAAATGATCAGCCCATACCGCGTCACTTCTAGATAGGATCTCTCACTAAAACGCCCACGTAATGATCCCATAAAAGTGCTAGCAGAGGGAACGTGGGTAGCTCCACATTGGACATAGATTTGGAGGATCGCCTGTTGTCAGCCCTCCCAACAGCTCTCCACAGGGAGGCTGAAGTAATGGTCAACCTACGGAGAAGTATCTGTCCCGTGTCTACATGTAATGATAGCCAATTATCTGCTTATGTCACACCACGTGATCACAACCCTCACATGAATCCAACAATGGGAGACAAGTCAGACGGGAGCAATGTGTTTTATAAACCCGCTTATGTAACCCTAACCTTCACATTAAGATTAGATACTGCTACTAGCTCAACATGTTACATCATCAATTGAGAGAGAGTAGTCTATCTTAATAGACCTTTTTGAAGCGGGGAACAAAGACCAAAAGCCAGTTTCTGTGAATTGTGCACTAGCCCCAAGTTCTATCCAAGTGAAGGAATGAGTCGGTGTGCGAAGGAAATGCTTGCATTGAGCTCACGGTGCTCTGCATCATGTGTAGCCCTCCTCATCTGTGTGTGGAGAGCGCAGGCACTTACATAACCCAGTTAAAATATACCCCAGTCACATGTAACGTTCAGCCCTGCAGATAGACATCCCACTGTCGCTTGAGCTGCTCTGGCAGCCGCTCAGACATTAGAGAGTCTAAAGACACACACAGAGCCACACAAGATTTGACAGTGATTAGCTGCCAGACTTTCTCAACTGCCTGCATGTGAACTGTGTGTGAAAACTAATCTTCTCTCTGAGTGAAGAGCATGTGACTGAGTGGAGTCGGACTGGGAAGAAGCCACAAAGGGAGAGGGAGGGTACATGATGCGGCGCCGGAAGTCCAGCCCTCTAAAGCCACAAAAATGTGCCCAGTATCGCTTTTCCTCTGACTGCATAACCTCTCACACCAACTCTAAATGCTATTGGCTGTTCCTTGCCACACACAACTGGTGCATCCCCCCCTCACACTGCTGCAGCGTGCCCAGACTACGTGCAGTCACATTTCTGCTGTGTGGGTGGGGTTAACTGGGCTGAACTAGCATTTACTGTAACATGATGACATATCTGGAGGAGTGAGCTGCACTGGAGAGAAGTGGACGACACGTTTTCTAACCGAGATTAACAGGAGTTACAGAGTCCGGACTCAGGGGAGATTTGTCCAAATTATATAAGAAGCTCACTTGCTTGGACTGTAAGATTCAGTCCATCATGATTTACTGTTATGTGTAACATATGTAGTGATCATTTTGAAAATAAGGGTTTTCAGAGTGGGCTACAAGAAATGTAGTCTGGCATTCAAGCTAGAGAGTTTCTGTTTCAACTCGATTGCAATAAGGTTTAATGCATTGTAAGGACAGACATGCTCAATTTATATATCAAAAGAGGTGACTCAAAGCAGCTGCTCCGAGGCCTTAAACTTAGAGAATTATGTAATCCTGTCAAAGCTATGAATCACTCAAAAAACGTAATATTACATCCCACCATCAATTGTGTTCATGCAGTCCATGTGTCTTTTAGACGTTTTTCGTCATGCCTCACCTCACATGTTTGAAATGTTTTGTTGGCCTTCCCTGCAGCGGCTTCACTTGTCGCTCACACAGTAATGAACATACCAGCCGGTCTTCTCCTCCATCTGAGCTCAAACACAACCCCGTGCCTGGGTAACGCTCCAGCTATTAGTGGTGAGCAGTTAAATGTGAACAGTGCCGTTGAAAGCACGCTGATTGGTGTAGCAAATTGAGAGATGTGCTGCACGTTGTAGCTAGCAGACACATACACACACGGACATCAGTATCCAGGTTCAGATTTGGGTAGAAGAAGAGAACATGGCCTTAAGCCTGGATCTATCAAGCTGAGTCATATGAACAGCTCATTGCAGGGGACAGCTGTTAGTAAGACAAGATGCTCACTAGCCTGTCCCCCTGCCAGCAGCACCCAAACACTCTCACACCCGTATCCACATGCAGCCTACAGGTAAGGACAAGTGGTCTTGCTGTACAGCACAGAGAGTCAACTGAGGCTATCAGCAGGCTCTCCACACTCCACTTAATGTTTTGAATTGCTAGCTATTGCATTAAACCAGCCAGCCCTGTCTGTAGATGAGAAACAGATTTTGTAATACTGTAAAGTGTTGGGAAGAAAAACGGGCTTCAAAAGGTTCTCGTTCCATAGGGTGAGGCGTGGCACTGATGGTAACCCAAGCACACATGCTGCGTTTTCCAAAAGGGTGAGGACAGATGTTCAGTGTATGCCCTGTAATAAAATGGGCGTGGGGCATTGATTTGGCTTTCATTTTTTATGAATGAGAGCGGGAGACATCCAGTCTCTGTGGAATACAGAATCAGCCAGCCTCTCTGACAAATTGAAAATCACAGCGCCAGTTTGTGTTGAGTGACTCATCCCCGGATCCTGAGAGGAGAATGCACAAATAAAAGAGTTCCCTATTGTGAGGAGATTGCAAATTGCTGCTGTTGTTCTTTATGTGGATGACAAATTGCAGGGCAACTGAATGGAGCCGGATTATTGTAAATACATAAATGTTCCCAGAGATGACAAGGATGATTTACTGAAACATTCAGAACAATCTGCTCTTTAACACGTTGGACAAAAGACATTTGAATAGCTGTTGTAATCTGTTATATAAATGCAAACATTGCTTTTCTACTGTGTCTCTATAGTTTAAAGCACAGCATAGATGTGCATGAAACATCTCTGTCACCCCCCTAAAAAAAGATGTAATGTCTTTTTCCTGTGCTTTGAAGTGGAAGAGATGTACTCCGCAGTGTCATGGGAGCCTTGAAGACAAAAAAGGGAAATCAGAGTTCAGCAGACTCGGAGCGCCACAGAGTCTGGGGTCGCGGGAGGATCTGGTGCTGGGGAGCACAGCAAGACAGGAGACTGTTTATGGGATGTTTAATAGATGCAGCTTACGCGACAATTACAATTCATCATGAGTGGCTCACTGTCAGCAGGCATGTCGCCCTTCCACTCTCTATTGGTGCTATGGTGTCTGTGGAGTATTCTACCAGCAGGGTGTGATTTTAGGCACAGCAGCAAAGAAGTAAACCCAGCGTCAGGATGCCGTGCCCGACCTGACCTGCATGCTCCTCACGTACAGTAGTAGTCGCCACATACGCTCTTCTTTGTTCACCTGAATAGAAAATGCTGTTAAAATTACAATAGAGAAGGCTCATTGAAGAAAGACAGCCCAAAAACTCCTTCTGATTTTTATTTCAGATACCTTTGCACCCAATTGTTATAATAGTCTGGGCAGCGATTTTGGCTCTGCAAACATCTCACAGTGCTTTTTCAAACGTGACCTGTGCTCACCCTGCAGATTGCTTAAATTCTGCTCGCCCTTGTGGGGAATTGAGGGGGACGAGGAGAGGGGGCAGGTTATGCTTTCTGTGTGTGGCTGTCTCCCAAATGCATGTTGGGATCACGTTTGCTGAGGGTTAGTGACTCACGGCTGGCTCCAGGATCAGGATGCTCGTCTGGCAGAGGGCTTCTGATCCCCCCCCCCCCCCCCCCCTCAGACAAACAGAGGTCCTATGAGTCACACCCAGACTGTGTCCAACAAAGAAAAAATGTGCAGATAAAAAAAAAACTGAGTCTGAATGTCAATTGCCTAATCAATTATTGATAATTGTGTACATATACAATTATAGACTTGTCAGGTGTTAAAGGTTTGAGCTATTAAGACTGTTAACTTAACTAACTGTTAATTTTTTAGGAATGTATCAATTAATCAGTCACACTGAATATGATTTGTTAAAAGGGATGAAGTGCCATATTTAATCAAAAGTATTAGATACCTAAAGGCCTCGAGGATTTTCATTGTATCCTTTTATTACACCAATATGTTTCACATTAAAACTATAATAAAGCTTTTTTAAATTAATATTTAATGCGCAAAAAATAAAAGTATTTAATTGAACAATTATGACAATTTAATATAGTGGAAACTACCAAAAGGAATATAAAGTGGTGATAATTAAACACATAGTAGACTATTCTGTCTAAGGAGTATTTTTGATTGTTATACTTTTTTAAATGCGTTATTGGTTGAGTATTTGGCAATGCTAATATAACTAAAGTAGTCTAAATGATGTAAAAACTTCCTCCACTGCAAATATGACTTTCTAGACCCAGCTACCTGAACCATCACTGTTCTCCCTGAATCTGCTGACTGTGCCTTTACCACGCTGCTCGGGTCACAGACATGCCTCAAGTCAGTCATAATCACCCGGGTGATATAACGATGAAGAATGCCTGCAGAGTGACCCAAACTAGCCCTGGGTTGACTTTTCGCCCAGCTGCCGAAATGAAACCGATCCGCGTGTCCACGTGTTTGTGTCATTTCCATCTGATTTGCATATGTAAACCGGCCTAGCCTATCGCTCCGCGGCTGCTCCGGGAGCCGACGCTGATTTGTTGGTCGGTGGAGTTTGAGGAGCAAATGAGAGAGCCGGTCCCCGTTAATCCCGCCCTCCCAGACACGTTGCCTTGGGAGAAGCAACACGGGCCGATAGCTGGCTGCACCGTGTCCTCACACACTCACACACTCTCTCACACACAGCACGTCCGACACATCAGCTGCTCTCTGCCCCACACTGCTGCTGGATTTACTGCTGAACAACGGAACAGTTGCTCCATCCTGAGAAGGTACGCACCCTCTCTGCTGTTCACCTCCCTGAACACATCACTGATCACCTGTCTTTGTGGAGGTCAGGCATTTATTTAGGAATTGGCCACAGGAATTTGGCACAGAAATGCAAACGGGAAAGCTATTTATTTGTATAGAAAGATTAATAGGATGGCAGATATAGGCGTGACAATGATGATTTTTCTCATGTGCATTCCGGGTTAAATATAATTTATTATAACAGTGCCTGCTGCCAAATTTGCCATGCCTGATGAGGAAGTCTATTGTGTGTGTTACCTAACTGATTTGAAACCTGCACTTAGGCTCACAGATCGGATCTTTCGCTTTTCACTAAGAAGAGATAATAATGTGTAATCTTTGAATGAGGGAAATATTCCTAATGCATTTCATGTTCATTTCTGTTTTCTAAATAAGAATGTCATGTATGTGAAGTAGTGGGCATCTCTATTCATGTGAACCTTCTATACAGGTAGATGGATACATGGATATAGTAAAGGATATCTGCTATAAGTTAATTTATTAAGACATGTGTGTTTTTTAAACCACATGGTTAAGTAGATGTGATCAGTAAAGAGTCATTTCTTTTTGAAAGATTGAAGGCCTGCGTGGTGTACTCAAAGTGACTAATGGAACAAGTGTGGTATGTGAATGTGGTTTTAAAACAATTAAATCTGACAAATGCTATCATTTTCATAAATAATACGGAGTGCTATATAATGTGCATTTGCCAAGAAGTTGGTGTGTTGCAGTCTTTTTATAGCAGACACAAACGTGGGACTGAGAATAGACTTTTATTTAAGGATGAATGATAGGATATAATGAGATATGTAATACGATATAAATATTTTTGAATAGTTTGACGATGGATGTTTAAGTTGAATGATAAATAAAAAAAATGTTAGATAAACATTTATCAAGATATAGTTGTAAATATATAACCAATATAATAATAATACATTTTAATTTTAGGCGCCTTTCATGACACCCAAGGACACCATACAATTTGTTTAAAAAAAAAAGAAACCGCTAATAGGCAACAGAACATGATAAAAACACAAACAGGAAATCATGGAGGAGGCAATCAAGTATATATATAAATATAGAGTACTGTGTGTACGTTTAGTACTGAGTATGACTATTGCTTGAATATAAGTAGAAATTAACTCAGCATTTCATTACAGCTCTTCCCTCTGTTTGCTAATCTGGTTCCTAATCGTTATTTTCTAACTAAAATTGGTCAGCTGTGGTCTCCCCGAAGCATTACTTTAACCAGACAGAAACTTTTTGTGCCTCTCTGCGTATACGTTCTGTTGGAGTTTGTAAAATCAGTAAATTTGTGCTCCACCCTCCTCCGTAACAATAAGATCAGAAGGTGGTCGTCCTGTGTCAATGACCAAGGGAGCAATTAACTCCCCTTCCCTCAGACTTCACAGGAGGCAGGAGACATGCCAGGCGTTAAGCACTCAAAACACCGAAAATAATCCCTGTGCTGAAAATGCTGTTCTCACTTCCTTTTATCCTCTAATCACTGAGGAAACACGTTGGGAAGATCCAAAGATCCCACAAAGAAATGAAACATCCGTGACGAGCATTTGGTCTGAAGAATTCCTATTCCCGAGGCATTCCTCATGTTGTGAACAAACAGTGCCAGGCTCTCATTTTCTAAAATCTTTTTCCCCCCACAGTGGTGTCAGTAGTGTTGATGGGATGTCGCTGGTCGTCATGGTGGCAGACCCCTGCCCCCTTTGAATAAACAAGCTAACAATGTTTATGAATGATTTTGGTGGTTGCAGCTGGCAGCTGAATGAAGGAAAACACTCAGGCTATCGATTTTAAAATGTAGATTTAATGTCTTTGTTCTTACCATGATGTAGAGTTAATAATAGAACACATTTTATGAGTGAAAATATTTGAGTGTCTGGGGGTATTAGCCGGATAATTTGGGATGTTTGGTGTTTGCTATGAAAGGTGGCTAGTCTGTGCTTACTGGCTCAGGTGTTGCATCTGTAAAATAAACAGGTCATTGTGGTTTCAACAACTGTGGTCGCACTGCCACCGTCTGCTCACAGTGCAGTCTGTGTGGGAGCCTTTATTCATGTCTGCTTCAGTTATTTTATTTCTAGGTGAACCTGCATTGTTTTAGCGAAATGCAAACATGGCTGGCTGCTTTTTTATTATTTTCTTTGTTGTTGCATTAGAGCAGGGGTCTCCAACCTTTTTTAGGATGAGAGCTACTTTTAAAAAATAAAACAAGTCCTGAGCTACTTTTACTCATTTTTTTTGTTTTTTTGCACTCTATATATTTAGCACATTTTAAAATTATGATATGCTTACCTTTAACCTTTCTGTGCTGTTTGGGTCTGTGGGACCCGTTTTCAGTGTTTACTAAAAGAACATGTATGCAATTTTTAATTATTTTAACCTGCTTTATTTCGTGGGGTGGACCTCACATCCTCTAGGGGGGTCAGGGGGCAGGCACCCCCGGAAAATGTTATTTTTTAAAATGTTAATGTTGAATGCATCAATCTGGTGCACTTTGAGCACACACTTAATTTATGGATACAGCACTCAACACTCATATGAAAGGGAGCTGTATACTTTTCAATAATCCAAAATAATCTTTAGAATATTATCACAACCAATAACAAATAATTTAAACTTGTTTATTCTTATCTTATGTTACCTAGTTAGTTTCTTTTTATTTATGCATATTTTACTAATCACTCCCCTTTTAAACTGTTGCAAGAACGTGATTGGTCGATATTCATTGTGGGGGGAGGAGGGGTGTTAGATGGATACAGAGTTGTAGTAAGTAGATAGAGTTCACTATGATTGAGGTTTCATTTATGTTTAGGGTAGATTATTTAAATTACATTCCCTTTTTTTTTTGTGTCTTTTTTACATTTTGGATTTGCTTGGCGAGCTACTTATTGAGGGCTTGCGAGCTACAGTACCGGTAGCTTGCGATTGACGTGTTGGAGACCCCTGCATTAGAGTAACCGTGACTTTCTTTCTGTCTGTCAGGTCAGTGATGGTCAGTGCGACTTAGAGCCTGCAGCTGAGGATGTCTGCTACAGATTCGGACAACTCCATTGACTGGCTGGCTAGTGACAATGAGGACAACGACAGCGAACAGGAGTCTGACTGCACCGGAAAGCACAACCACACAGAGGGTCCTTCATCCCCCCGCAGCCCGCCACACCTGGGCCCGTCTGACAGCAGCGAGGTGAAGGAGGGGGGCCGTAACTGGAGCGAGGTCACAGAAGCCTCCAGCCGGAGGTTTCCCTCAGGCTGCACGGAGACACAAGACAGCCCCATTGGACTGTGTAAAACACAAGGAGACAAAACAAATGGCAAAAACACTCAGCAAACACTGAAGAGACCTCACAGCTCCGAGGAGGAGTGCAAGCCCCTTTCCAATGTGTCAGAGAAGAACCACATTTTCCACAGAAAGGTGAGCACCTCTAACTCTTGTCTGTTTCGCACAGGAGGTGTTTAACAGTGTCAGCAAAACTAGAGCGTGCCCTATCACCTAGGTTGTCTCCCCTGCTGGTTTTACAGTCAGTGTGTCATGCATCACATTCCCAGTAAGAATGACTTCCCCCCCCCCCAAATCAAACTTTAATCAGCAGAACAGTAGGCGGAGTTTGGGGGTTATCTAAATCATTTTCTGCAACTTTTATATTAATCTGAACAGCAATTTGTGGTTTGATATCACCTATAAATTACTCTATTTTTGTTTTCAGTGCATGGAGCTACAATGCTACATTCACCCACTGTCATCTATCTTGAATGGCCTTCGTTCAGGGAGATACAGAGAACGTAAGTCGCTCATTTATCATCTTTTACTATTTTCGTTGTTCCCAGTGGTATCACACTGTTTAATTCAACCATTCCTCAGTTGAGACTCTGTGTATGTCTTTTGTCTGTCTCAGAGAAATCCAAAACATTAGCAATAGTCCGGATAAACGACATCCCACTCTTTTTCTGGAAAATGTGTCCCTGATATTTAAAATCAAGATGATTGAAACATGTATTGTTGTATGGCTATCAAGAAACCACAACTATTTCCAGTGTGTGCACGTGTCTGTCTTTCATAAGGGAGCTGATAATGCATAACGTTTCTTAGCAACTTTACAAAAAAATGTCCCTCTTTAATAAGAGCACATCTAAACCAGTTGATGGCAGTATCACGGTTTGGAACTCCTTGTAAATCAGCTGTTGGCACAGAGGAGTGAGAACATACTGTACCACAGTCTCCATTAAAGCAGCTGCTGTTTGCGAGTCTCCTGATAGGCATTATTAAGATTTCTGGAAGATAGTGCCATGTCCAAACAGCCTCTGAAAACTGCTTCATGTGGGAACTTTGTCAAACCTTGTGTGACCCAACACTTCCTGGCCACAGAGGCAGGGAGTCTGTTCCTCCACACACACATTTCACACAATCCATCTGCTGCACAGACTCAGGCCTGCTGTCAGCACAGTTCATGTGGCTCATGGTACGACTTTATTCTTTTCCAGGACTCAGCAGTTTCCAGGAGAGCGTGGCCATGGACAGGATTCAGAGGATCATGGGAGTCCTGCAGAACCCCTGCATGGGGTAAGTGCAGGGTTGCCAACTCTCACGCATCTGGCGTGTGACACACGCTTTCACTCTCAATCTCACGTTCTCACGCTGCCCAAACTATTCTCACGCCAAAAACAAGAATATCGAAGACTAGAAACGGTTTTGAAAGCTTTTGTCACGTAGTGATCGTCTTCTCAATAGAACATCTTTGATAATGTCTTCTGGCCAATCAGAATCAAGATAACGGCGTGGTGTTGTTGCAGGAAGTCCCGACGGAGAATACTTTTGCTGTAGTACACCTCTATACATCGATACAACATTACGTGTTCGTGTAGTAATAGATTTATTTATTTTCTTCTCAAGAGAGTACCAGAATGTGTATTTTATGTTAGTATTTCAAAAAATCTCCTGGGGGACAATCCCCCAGACCCCCCTGTTGGGTTTTCAGCATGTCAACTCTTTCACCTGTGGGGAAATTGCAGGATTGGTCGCCCTTTTAATTCACTACAAGACAAATGTGCCTTTTTATTTCATACAGTTCAATTTGGATTGAGACACGGAATAATCTAAACCTCACACGTGGCGTTTCACTGTCAAGGGGAGCGTGTATGTAATTACATTGCAAATACTGATTTGAGCCCCACCACTGTATGGGTTAGCCCTACCATAGATTCCCCAACAAAAATACTCTGGAGCCGCAACTGCCGACCCGTATTGCGCATGTGCAGATCTAAGATCCAGTAGAAATTGATAAAAAAGTTAAAGTCTGCTGCTTATTGTTCTACTAGGCCAAAATAGAGTCAAAGAGTATATGAGAGTGAGATTGTGTTAAATAATATATTTGGCAGTTTGGAGTAAGTCTGTAGATTTGTGTGTGTGTGTGTTTCATGTATAGGTCTCTCACGATAATTAATTTTGTTGGAAATTATTGCGATAAACGATAATATTGTCGGCACCGTTGTATGACCGCTTTAGACCACTGACATAATGGTAATATATAATAATAATTCAAGTACATCCTTTCAAACTGCTAGTCACATCCTCATGTAAATGGCAATTTATCAAGTTCATTTTTATTTATCGTACGATAAGTCAATTAATTGCTTATCGCGACAGGCACACAATAAAACAGTGGAAACAAACATGTGTTTGACTTTCCTTAGTGAATGAAACTTTGTGCCCTTTATAGTCTGTGTCCAATATTGTGTATTTGTATATATTGTATATATATCCTATATATATGCTAAGGTCCCGCTGCTGACACGATAGCAGTCATTTCGTGCGCATATGTGTAATTAAACCCATGATATCAAAATCTCACTCCAGCCAGGTACCCAAAGTTGGCAACCCTGGGTAAGTGTCCTCAATGTGACTCACATACAGACAATGGTATTCAGTTTGTGTTTATGTGGCTTCATCCAATCTGTGTTGCCTGTGCAAGTATGTTACCTTCACTGAACTCGGATCAGAATCACGACTACAATACGCTCGACCTCACACAGGGTGCTTGCTGTCTTGGGTCAGAGTGGTGGACAACATGTCTGTGACACATGGCTCACAGTAGGTTGCCCTTTGAGTAGCCGCTTCCCCCACACTCAGACTACATTTACTGCAGAGAAGGCTGGGTCTCGCTTTAGCATCTTGTTAAAAATGCATCACGCTCCACTGTGAGCAGCACACTTGTGTCTGCTTGATTAGCGCTCCACTGGCCAGATGGTATAATGGGGTATGATATCACCACTTTAAAGGAGAAAGTCTTTGTCCCTGAAATACAATCATGTTTAATTGTGTGGAGGTTTCCTGTTAATGTTAAATCACAAAATGGCAGTAATAGTAAGTAATGAAATTCCCAATTTGACGTTTTCAAATTGCATAAAAAAAGAACATAAAAAAAAGAAAGGGATTTAGCTTACATTCAGATAAGAAGCTGGAACCGGTAAATATCAATTATTTGAATTGTTGTCAAGTCATCTAAGGTTGATTGTAATAAAACAATCAGTATGAATATAAAACAAAATTGTATAGAAGAATAGCTCGTTATGATCATATTCACAATATCACACGGCTCTGACAGTCTGAAGTAGCTGCTTCTTGTAGCCTCTCACCTCCTCTGAATTTTAAGCAGCACTTCTGGTACCTGTATGTAGGGCAAAGCATCATGGTACACTGATATAAGATGAAATGGTAGACTGATATAAGATTAAGTGCTGCTGAGTCTGGCACAGCCTAATTGGAGCCCTCACCCACCAGCTGCTGCCCTCATATGGGAGACAAAGAGTGGGTGTGGCAGCCTCCCCACAGACAGCCGGGCAGAGCCGGAAGGTGACTAAATCCCCCCGCCCTCCCCAACCCCCCCTCATTGCTCCCTGTGCCTGCCCTGTATTGCCAGCTGGCAGCCCCTGCAGCAACACAATGGTTGATAGGATCAAAGTGACTTTTTTAGCAGTCACTGTTGCAGATAATCTTTCACATGAATTTAACATGCGCTGAACGGAGTATAGCAGGAAGGTCCTGATCATATGACACGGGCTAATCCCTACCCACCATCTGGTTTTCACGGGTGGGAGTTAATGGGGCGCTGCCCCCTGCTACACACCTCACACGCAAACTGCGTCACCATGATTAGTTTATTTTCACAGTGACTGTTGGAGACCGATGTGGCTTATTTAGAGGCGAGCGGAACTATTATACATCAGGCCACGTGTGAGCTCGAAACATGTGAGAAATGTGCTTAAGACAATCCCCCCTTCACACACATGGAGTACAGGCTTTGCTAAGTGAGTGAAGTGTTAGTGCGCTGTTCGAGATTGCTTGTTTCCTGTGTGAGTTTGATTGTGTAATAAGATTTAACGGAAAAGATGATTGGTAGATTACGTAAATGTATGATAGCTTTACTAAATGTATCCCTCTCTTTCTGTTTCTCTCTTTCTTTCCTTCATTTTTTCAGAGAGAAATACATTAATATCATTCTTAAAATGGAGGAAATGCTGAAGAGCTGGTTCCCTGATGTAAAACTCAAGGATCAACTTGCTGATCCCCGGACAGAGGAAGCTGTTCCTACCAAGAAACTGAAGGTAAAGCCTTACGAAAGCAGAACTGTTATGTAACATCTCTTTGGTGGAGGAGGCCTGCTGCCAAGAATGGTGACGATTCAGCGAAAGAGGGATACAATATCTATTATTATTTAATCACAGGTCTGGGACTGGGGGGGGGGGGATTAGCAGCTATTTTTACTGATGTATTACCACTGTCTCATGTTGGCTAAGAACAATGACAGAGGAGAAAAGGTAATTTTTGGAGGAGGTGTTCTTAAGAGGATAAGAAAGGTCAGAATAATCTGGAACATTCCTTTGCTTTTAATTGGTTAGGAGTCGTTTCTGTGGCTAATCCTGACACACCCTCCCATAAACATGGTTTTAATGTACTCTTATTTTATTTCAGTCACCACATCAAAGCTGTTTGGCATTTTGTAACGGATCATGCTGTTTGCCACGGCAACATCAGTCAGATTATGCTAGCAATTAGCAAAATAATTTATAAACAGTGTGGAGAAGTTAGCTCAAACAAAAACATATTTTCAAATGAGTGTTTTTATGGCTTTGTCTTCTGAATTAGGCATCTGTTTGCTAACAGTTTAGCCTTTTAATAAGGTTATAATAAATATGTGTCATAATTGTTTGTGTCCCTTCAAGAAGTCAAAAGCAGTCTGTCTGTTTTATCCAATTAATACATTGTGCAATCATGCATACTATTTCAAATCCCCAGGGACAATTCAGGGGCAATTCTAGGCTCATTTATAGTATAATGCATTGTTGATTAATGGACACTTAATATTAAACAAGCAAATCATTAAATCAAAGTGTGTTTCTATCTTTTACACAAGCTATCTCCAGTAAGCGTCACTGCAGTCGTGTGCCCCGTCCCCGTCAGTGATCCTGCAGCCGGTGTCAAACCCCTGAGAGTCACCGAACTCGCCCCTCCTGGAGCTCACTCTGCCAGTAACCTGAAGTGGCTCCACCCCTCGCCCATCTGCTCCCCCGCAGCAGAGCAGGCCCAGGGCGGCCCCGGGCTCCCGCTGCCCCCCAAAGACCTAACGCAGGACAACGCCGTGTCCTCCAGCACGGACAGCCACGGCAAGAGAGACTCGGTGCCCAGAGGCCCTCCGCCGAGCAAAATTAACGCACCCTGTCTAGAGAGGCTCCTCAAATCGACAGAAAGCATCATCTGCAAGGGGAAGGGCGGTTTGACAGACAGCAGCTGGTCCTAGTCCACACAGACGGCTGGGGGTCCGGCTGTTAGCACCGCACAGACCCAGCCTAGCCTTGCCCACCATGCCGGGAGACGGTCAGCTCGCCAACCCATTCCAGCCTTCAGGGGAGACGGGAGCCTCCAAAAGGGACGTCACAGAGTCCACTGTAATGTGGAAGGAGCATTGACGGACATGTTGTACTCTCTGTATGGAAATGTGCCCTCTCTGACATGACAGGTGTCTGCTTTAGTTTCCCCCTTTGTTGACTTACTTTGTTTTTTTTTGTTTGCACTCTTGAATAGCGTGTATGAGAGTGGAGAGGATAGATTTCACATGCGCGAGATCTCCGGAGCCCCTGATTCCACAACTGAACCGTTCCCACTGACCTGTAGATGCAATAATGCAGAGTATCTGTGAAACCGCCATTATGCCTGAAAGGGGAATAATTGCAGGAGTAGTTTGAGCTTGAAGGGATTTTTCAGATATCCAGACATGACGGTGGTCAACATATTGTTGTATGGAAAAAAAAGTGGCATAAATGTGATATTTTTTTCTCAACCCCCCCAGACCCAATGACTCCACTCTTAAGTTTATTGATGTGACTGTTACTCATTTGTATACTTTATAAATAAGTATTTTGGTACAACTATTCTACCTCAGTGGGCACCACGTCACAGTTAGTGAGTAGGAATGCGAACGCTACGCTCAAAGTCTGAACACCTCAGCAGATCTGCAGGGAGCCAAACGGCCTCTGACACGCACCGCGAGATCTGCAGTACGAGTCGTTCTGCTTGTACAAACAGAGGATGCTCTCTCCATGGGGATGCAATCATGGGCCTGACTGGTGCCATTGTAAAGAATGTCAACTGCAGATTTCTTTTTCGAGTCTCCCAGTAGAAGGCAAACAGTGCCTGTAACGTCAAGCTGTGCCTGTAAGCCAGTTTGATAAAAAGAGAGGATCGTTCAGAGTAACTGCTTCTCGGTGGGATGTACAAATCAGGAATTCTCACTCTCCTGCCATTTCCTGTAACGAGTAAATTATTCAGATCCTGCCAACGACTTTCTGTGGTGGAGTAGAACAATTCTTTTATTTTGCCACAGAACTGGACAGTATGTTAGACCAGCAGAGAGGGACAAGGTATTTCTCTGTGTGAATCTTACGGAAAGGTTGTCGATTTACCCTGAAAAGTGGCCTTTATAGTGTGACATTTTATACTTTCAAAATAAACGTGGTTCTATTTGTTTGATGCAAAAAGGCTCGGGTTGTTTTATTGTGAGTTTTTCTTTTATCTAGGAAGTTATCCTATGTGCAGAGAATCAGCAACTGCTCAAAGGTTTAGCCCTAATAGGCACATGTTCCACATTAAACTTGTCTTATTAGTTTTAATGTTCCACTTAGCTTTTTCACTTTTATGTTGAGTGAAATATTCAGCAGCACTTTGCAGTAACACAAAAAGGCAGAGGGTAAAACACTGCACAAGTGTCAACAAAAGGAATTTGTAAGTCTCATAGATCTGATTTATGTCACCGTTAGACCAATTATTGGTTGAGTAGACAGGGAACACTCAAAGAGAGCTTACTTCCCAAAGGAATAATAAGATTTACGGTTCATAAGGCGGTATGTAATTTTCAGTACATTCGCTCTAACATAACGTGCAGAGAAATGTTCCAGTTCAGTATCACTCCACACTTCCCAGAATGTGAGAGTGGTATTTAATGTTTTCCATACATGCACTTTCACATGCCTGTTGGCAAACCAGCCCGCAGAATTAAAACTGTGAACTTCTTGTACAACCCAGACAATGAGACATTCACAACTCACAGAATGATAATTACAGAGGCAATGATAGACATATGTAATACCAACAGTAAAAACAAACCAGAAGAATTACAGGAATGCACGTTTCAGGAAAAGACAATGAGCCGCCTGCTGCAGAAAATGTGGAGATTAAGACTACTGCTCAGTTCTTTGTGATCTAATACATCATTTTCTGTCTGGAGCTTCTGAGAAACTTTAACCACACTGGAAATAGACATTGAGTACTTCTGCCAACAAGAATAAAATAAAAAACGACTTCACCAAATCTAAAACCAAATACTGCCATCTATAGGGAAAAGATAAGCATGACACGCTCACTCTTTTTCTCTCAAATTCAGTCTAGATGTATCCTCCATTGTGCATTAGCACTGTGGTTAACACAGAATGCCATGACAGCAGTTCCTTCTTTTCCTCTCCAAATTGGAAAATACACTTAAAAACCACAATATAATGCTGCTTGCTTTTATTTATTTTTCCTTGGTGAATTTAAACTTTGTATTGAAAGCACTGGGTTCAGTTTCAGTCAGCTTCCTAATGCCAAACCCACTTTATTCCCTTCAGTATGAGCATGCTGCATTCACAGATGTGTGTGGCCTGGAAAACAATCAGTTAGAAATTGAATTGAAGACATTCAAGTGCAATGAAAGACAGCAAGTGCCAGAATATCCCATTATTTCATAACAAACTAGACATTCATCATCTCAATCATCACCAAAATGATAACTGTATAGACCTATACAACCACCGACAAGCCTTCATGTTGCTTTCCATATTAGAGGTTCACAGAGGTTATGCTTTACAGAATTGATTGATACCAGAGTTTTTTTGTCTAGGCAACGTGTGGGCAAAACTACAAAGACTAATTATTCCTGGAGGAGCAGAGATGGGAGCCTTTTGTTGAAAGCATACAAAGGCGAGAGGGAGAGAAAAAATTGAGGGGGGGAGGACAGGTCCATGGTTCCAGTTGCAAAAAGCTCGAAGGAATAATAAATACAGCTTAATTCTCTCCAGCTCCCCTTTCATTTTAAATTGGCCCTGATTTGAGCTCCAGCTGAGTGTGAAATGACAAGGCGGCTTGGTGATGAATCAGAGCCAAGGTGGCGACGCTTCACTTCGCTGCAGTTATTTATATGTACCAAATCATGGAGTTCATACTTAAGTGTAGAAACAGATGTGAAGTCACTTCCCCATCTGTTGATGCGTTTAAAAAATATAAATAACAAATTGCATAAATAAGAAACCTTCCATGCTATAAAAAGATCTAATTACATCAACAGGTTCTGTAAACTTCCTCAAGCTGTTAAATTAAATCAAAAAAAACTTTAGACGTTAGATACGGTTTGTGTTAATACAGGCTGCAAGCTTTAATCTTGCAATTTTCTAAAGCAGTCACGACCAGGTTCCTCTAAACATCACATGATTTAATGCAAAAAAAAAACACTTGTTAGCTTCTGGAAAATTGCAATCTGCTATCATTCACACTCAGACAAGGATCAGTCGCTTTGTTATTAACTCCAAAGTCTCAAATGTCAGGTATTTGAGTCAGCATTTAGGTATAAATATGATCATAACTTGTTTTTTTGGACGTGAAATTAAGGCCACTTGATCAGAGTCATTACATCTCTTTTCGGAGTCCATAAAAAGAAAACTGGTTTCTTCGCGGCCGTAAGAGCTTTGGGTGTTTTAGGGAGATGTTTCAGAACATTCTGTCACACACCAATATATCCTTCCTGCAAAGCAAGGACTGGACTCATTATGATATTATGAACTGTGATTCATTCACACCCTACAGAGATAATGGTCTCATCTGTCAGAGGACTGAACACCTTTAATTAGAGACACGTGAACTCAAAATATCCCCTTCTCAATTATAACAGGAGCAGGTTACACAGATGATGCCGCAGCAGCTGCTTTCCCCTGGGGATATTCCATAAAAACTCTGAGGACTGTGCTTACACACTGGGGAGGGCTGGTTTGTCATTATGTGACAAAACAAATGTATTTTTGTATACCTATAATTTATAATATATGTTTCATTCCACAGCATATTGATGTGGATAAATCATTGTGGTTTGAGGCGGACTGATGTTTTCTTTCTGACATTGCAGTGACAGTACTCTCTGGAGCCGAATGTCTACAGCAGATTGATCACAGAAACAGAAAACAGTGGCCTCTCCTCTTCATAGCATAGCATTGCCATCGATTTCGCTGTCTCCAATAGGTTATCCTCAGCTCTTTTTAAAGGAAGAACAATGTTCAAAGAGCAACATCGCCATCTTGAATGTGTTTTAGCAGCAGCATTGATTTAAAATATTTTTCAGATGCAGGTTTCTTCAGAACAGCTAATGATGAACAGTACATGCACAGTGAAGTGAAAGACTTTTGAAAAGGTTTACCATTATGTGAAGGTTTTGTCATACAGAATTAGTTATATACAGGAGACTCTTAAAGAAATGAAAAATGCTCCACAGAACACGCTAAGAGCAGTTTAGAACATTTAACCTATACGTGAATGAATGTCATGATTCATCATATCTGAAAGCCATTCAACAATATACAGTGAAAGGGATTTAAAAATAAGTGATCAAATTCAGTGTGTGTCTTCACAATGTGTTAAACTGTTACTGATTTCCTTTGACTTTCACACTATCTGCATTTCTTCTGGTTTAATTTGTTTTCCGCTTTTCAACATGCAGGCCTCCGAGACCAATTAGGTGAGCGAGGCAACATCGAGCCTGAACTGAACTCTTGTGAGCTTTTGATGTTACTGAAAGATACAAACTTGTTTTAAAAGAACAAGCAAGAAGCATTAAGGTCAATTCATTTGGGATCTGTCACTTTGGGTGTTGTAGGAGCATTATATTGCTTTATATTACTTAAACATTTATTTTATTGCAGTTTCTTTTTATAGAAAATGTATTATTATTATTTAAGTTAGTTAAAGTAGTTTTGAATGCATCTTTGGGCACTGGGGGATTGGGTAGTATCTGTATGGCTCAGAATGTCATCCAAAACGTGAACATATTTTAATTTCACAGCAGATTATAGCATCACAACAGTTGGATTATTTGGAAATACTGTAAGAACCACAACAACCACATCAGAGATGACATCTCCTTCTTGGCAAGAATAATGAATAGTCCTGTAAAAAGGTTCTGAATTCAAATAATCATGACACATTTGTGAAAACATGGATCATGCAGTATTCATATTAACTAGGAATAATAATATTGCCTTGAAAAAACATATAAGCCTGAGGAAGTAAAGGTCTGTAGCATGAATCAGTCGCCCACTTTTGAGCATTGTCAAATCCCCAGTTTTTCTTATGGCCGCAAAACACAACTTTGATAGAAAGGTCAACCAATGAAATGTAAGGCTTCTCGTTTACAAGTACAGTCTGCCTCCAAATGAGCAACAACTGTCACCTCTCTTGGGTCTAATCATGCAGGTGGTGGGTAGCGGATTAAAGGATGAATCACGTGAGGGTTGAGACTTGTAACAAAGACATGCAAGACAATGACATATCAAGAGCACAGAGCCTAAATATGGCCGCCCCTCATTAAGTCCCATTTCCAAGAATAGAGGGCAGACAGAGCTCTTGTATGTATGAATAATGGAAGCAGCCTCCTGGAGCTCATTTCCAGAGTGATCTTCATGTTAAAGTATGGCCTAATGATCACACAGATAAAGTGAGAGGCTGGCATTCATGATTAATGTCCTCAGGTCTGTTTCCAGAGTTACGCAGCCTCCACCGTGACTCTGTTCACTGAGCATCAGATGCTCGCAGGAAATAAGATACACTATACAGGTGACGTACTTAATTGCAAATATAGAACTCGTCCACTCAGAACCAAATGTACCAGAAGAAAGCTAAGCTTCACCATTCTTTCACTTATAGCTGCATATTTCATTTATATAAATGTATATATCCTAAGGATACATTTATGCTACACGTTCACACGAACATACTAAAAATGGATGTTAAAGGCTTACAATTTATCACTTGAATGCTGAAATTAAAAAAAATATATATATATGTTTCCATTGTCGGCCTACTTTATCAATGCTATTTTTCTTCTCTTCAATACAAACTGCTCTTCAATTAATTTCCATACTGTAGCTTTAATTTTCGCATTATTAATAATTTGTATCTGACTTATTTTCCTGTGACAAATCACTATTTTCACTTCTTCTGTTGCTCATATCACACATGGCTGTTCTGCTCACTAGGTGGCACCATTGTGAAAGAAAAACGTAATATCACTGGAAAGCTACTTCTCTGAACAAAGTTTGAATCTTAAACAAATAGATTACGTGTCACCAGTTAATGCAATGAGCTCAAAGTCTCAACAGGGTGGGATTATACAGATTCACTTTCAGCAGAAACCCAATAATACTACCATAACAGCAACGTGTTTTCTAAAAAGTCAACATTTGGCTTATGCGTGTGCCTGCATCATTTTAGTGTCAATGATATGATAACAAGACTCACCATGGCATGTCACACAGATTCACCTGCATGTAATTTACAGTACCATCGAACTGATCTGAGGAGATTTATTGGATTATGCCTGCTTAATGCAAACCACATCACAAATTGCAGCCTGGCCTCCTGACACATCACTGAGTCAAGAACTGCCTCTAGACATCTGTATCTCTTTCGATGAAGGACATGGTTTTGTGTTACTGATATGTAGCATATGCTTTTGGACAGCACTCCTTATTTGTCTTTGAGAGCGACCCATCCATCACATCCTCCCAATAGTAAATCTTCAGGAATCCTTTGATCCCGGACCCTGTCGCTGGTCCACCACATAATTGATCCTAACATACCAGCTGTGACTCTGATACATGAGATGCTTCAGACCAGACTGTACGGCTGCCTGGAAGCCATGTCATTTCACTCTCCATCAATGACAAATCACAAAGGACTCAGGTCATATTTCAGTGAGACATGGCTGAAATATTTACAGTCGCTTCATACGGACGAGTGACCAGGGCATGCTTTAAATGTTTTCTGTTATCTCATCCTATGCCAGTAACTCACAGGTTGTCATTAAACAGAAACACATTGCTATAGAATTGGAGAGTCCCTGTATGCTCTGTAAGGACTTGAGATGTAGAAGTCAAAAGTGTACTTGTTGACAGATAGACCTTTCAACACTTTTATTGTTCAATATAACAGAAATAAAGAAAATACTGTTAAATATTTCACAAAATACTAACATATTTATTGAAGGAATGCTAGTACATAGTCAAATATTTAGTATGGAAACCGTAGGTGCAGTCAGACTTTTCCCAATCCAGGATAAAGCTGTGGATTGAGTGTATTACGTATCCTGCTGTCTGTGTATGTTCATTTACATACATTATAAGCTGAAAACACAAAAATACATCTTCATATAGATTCAAGCATTAATATCGATTGTATGCACAAATTCAGTTTACTTTGTTATAGCGACGAGGTCTACTCAGTCTGGGGAAAACAGTTGTTTTAAAGAGCATAAACAAAATAAAAAAGTCTGGAAAATATGCCTGATGATGTCAACAGGGTTGAGTCTGCTTCAGCTCGAAGACTACATATTAAACTGGGGTCAGGGAGTTAAGAATGAGAAAGATGTGGGTGTTTATTAGGAAGGGATGGTCAAATGAATTGAAATTATTGGTTGAATTATGGGAAATGCAAGATTCTGTGGTTTTGGAGCTTTACCCACACCAAAGCCTCTTTTCTTTTATAAATAACATTCTCTTTGTTATGTGTCTTTGGTAAGTCACCCAACTTTATTTAGCAGCAGTATAAATATATCTTTAAACCCCTTATACTTAATGTGTAACACTGGCTTGTGTTCTTATTCTGATACTGGAGGACAAACAGGCTCACATATTTCAGACCCAATTTCTGAGCATAAGTCTGTAACTGGCCTACATCGTGTCTCTGCCAAAAGTGTATTTAGTTCAGGTCAAATTATCCCTCCAATCTCGTTCAGCCCAACTGGGCTCAAACAATATTTCTCTTGTGAGGCTAAATAATGGACCAGTGCCCAGGGGGGAAAATTCACTATCAGAATTAGGGCTCATTGATGTTGAGATAATTATGTTGGATACAAAGTGCAGGTGGTATTTGTGTTTTATCTTATTTTGGTTCAACAGGAACATTGGCTCGGGGCACGACATGTCTCGTAGGAAGTTTTAAAACTGCATATATCAAATAGAAAGTAATTTAGGAATTTAAATATCAGAGTGGTGTCCTACTTATCCAGTGTAGTGATACAATGCTGCATTGATTTAGAGTCAATTGATCACATGACATGGAAGATATTCAAAGGAAAGGACATTTTCATTTAATAAACTATTGCAATAATAGGGTGTCTGTGGATATGGGGCTAAATAGGCATCTACAAATCAGAGGGTCAATGGTTCGAACCCCAAGCTCCTGCAGTCAACCTCAAAGTGATCTTTGGCAATATATTCAACCCCAAATAGCTCCCGAAGGAATGACTAAGATGTTAATGGAGACATAGTTTTTTCTTTTCAGTTTATTGAACTCACAAAAAGTCATATTCATAAATGTATTAACAAAATTTGAATTTACAATACATACAGTACATACAAGTTAACTAAAAAGGACCTGTTTAATACATTGTTGCTTCTTTTACTGAGCTAAAGTTCAAATAACAGTGAAATTAAGACATTAACTTCCGATTTGTATTTATATTTACAAGATAAATACGCCCCACTGGTGACAAGTATTTGACAGTAATTTAAAAATAATCTATATTTATTACAGTAAACAGATAACACTGTATAGTGTACAGGCCCATTATTGTGATATGACAAATGAAAATGTTAATAAAAACAGTCTCTTAACAGAGACATTGCTGTGTGTTAAGCACAACATGTGAACACTTGTTTACCATATTTGCACACATTATTTTACATCCACACATGCAGACCGCACAACAACAATATCTAAATCTGTCAATACTCGGATGTTAGACAACAGCTGAGAGACTTTTAAGACCACAGTTATGAGAAGCTGCCTACATTCTTGAGGACGTGCTAATGTTGGCCTCTCAGTTCCTGTCAACAAGGACAAAAAAAGATAGCTTGAATTTAGAAATGTATTGCTATCAACACACATGATATGCTGGTTTTGTGTTTCACTAAGACAAGCAAGTTGTCTGGATCGATACAACTCAAACAAATAATGTATCATTATTCTTATGACAAGTTACAGCTGCACAGTGTGTTTCCAAAAGTTGCAGATTAACTGTTTTGCAACAGGAACATGTCAAATGATGCCCTTGTTGCTCTCAGGAAGTGCTGCTTCTCTTTCTGCCCCTTGGTCTCCTCTTCGGGATGTCTTCCTCTTGGTCACTATCACAATCCCTCTGAAACAATCAACATATTGAGGTTGACAAAAAGCAGTAAAATGGATGTGTGGGGACAGTTTTATGAGCTCAAAAAATGTAACATTAAATAATTGTTTTTAAAACAAAATCTGTTATCCAAACTACTCGCTGCAAAACACCAGCAAATACCAACAAGGTACAGTTAGAGTTGGATATTCAACAGATTCTCCAGATTCTGTGAAGCTGAGGAAACGAAACCGGACTGAATATCCAACTTAAAACTAATTTCCCTGCATTGCAAATGCTGCGCACATCAATACTGCAAAGAAGATAAGATAAGATGGACCTTTATTAATCCCCGAGGGGAAATTCAGTAGTTCTGCAGGAAATCTGCAGAACAAAACTTCCAACATGAAACATCACAGTTACTCTAAAATTGAACATAATGTTTGTTTTCTAACTGAGACTCAGTTTTAGAAGGTTGATACCACTCTTTTTCTAAAAGTGCAGTAGGCCTATATGAAGCTACATCCAGGAGCCAGTTAGCTTAGCATAAAGGAAATGGGGGAACTGCTAGCCTTTGTCTGAATGTAACACCGACCAGCACCTCACATACACAAATTGTAACCTTATTTATTGTTTGTTTAGAGTAAACACAAAATCTGTGTTTTACGAGGGGGTTTTGTGCTGGATTATTTTTTGGCTGGGAAGAATGATTTCCTGAAGCCTTCATTGGTTTCCTATCCTCAAGAGTGATAATAAGACTCCAGGAAGTCAATGATGCTAGAAATGAATTAGTGTCCAGGCTTCATGGTAAGCTAAGCTAACTAGTTGCTGGCTGTAGCTTCATAAACTGTGCAGACGTGGGAGTTGTTTCAATATCCTCATCTAACTCTCAGGCTAATACAACAATGCAAAGACATTTCTAGACTGAGCCAGAGCTTTAAGCTTTAATACTGTGAGTCCTTACCCCTTCCTGCTCAGGCAGCTTGTTGCCTTTCTTCATGATCCGTGTTAAGTGGTTGCACAGAGCCACAATTCTGAATGACAGCTGTTGAACAGATGAAAACAAAGATAATTAGTCTTTAAACATTATGAAGTGACATCATGAACTGCTTTAAGGACATTTTCTAACTGTTTACTTACCTTCCACCTGCGTCTGGCATACTGTCTCTTAAAGTTCTGCAAGTTGACCACAGACAACCTCTTCACCATGGCCTGCCTGGTATCCTTCGGCTGCAGAGACACAGTGAGGAATAAAATAACAGAGGTAGTATCTTACATGTTAATGTCAAATGACAAAATGTATCACTATAATCTAAGGTACCACAGGTGATATAGGCCTACTGAAATCTAAGATCACAAATCTCAAGAATGTGATACAAATAAAATGGTGATAATTTATTTCCTTTTTTTAGACAACATTGAAAAATGTCAGTGTGCACATCAAAGTCCAAAAAGTGTCAGTCATGTACATCTGTTGACACTGATAAAGAGGTGACACATTGTGAAACACATGTTGTCTTATCATAGATGTTGTATTTCCTGTCATCTCACAAAACATCTCCAAGAAAGAAGTACAAAAGTTTTAAAAAATAAATAAATTCAATACAATTATTAGTAAAAGTGCACATTACATCTGTTAAAACAATCGTTAAGAAAAACTAATTAATACAATAACACATTTAACTTTACAAATGCATGACCTTTGTGAAATAGACAATATACAAATTCCTATAATTGGAAAATAATAAAAAATAAATCAATTAAAAAATAAATCCCTTTTGAGACATTCAATAGAAAATGTGTAATCCTGTGTCCTCCTCTGGCCCTTACACAGTAAACACTTTCATGACTAATATGTATGACTTCAAACCTGCTCAATCAAATAAGAGCATCATCATCAGTAAGTATCACTTACTGCCAAAATTATGCTAATTTAAGATTATATTCTTTTATTTAGAGCAAGGCTAGCCGTTTCCCACTGTCTTCAGTATTTGAACGCAGCAAAGATTATCATCTTCTGCCTGTACCTTGAAAGTTACTGAACAGATACAAAAGTACCATCCATCTTTACATCAAAATGTAAAAGAAGCATATTTCCTTGTTTTAATCTTCCTACTCTTACAGACATTTAAAAAAAAAAAAATCGTATTACAGAGTTCAATCAAGAAAATTAAAAAATATAAAGAAAGAAAATGTAAAGACTACATTCACATATACATTTGAACGTTTGTGCAGCTAAAAAAAAATGTGTTGAACATTTTCAAAAGATCTTTAAGGTCAATAAGAGTTAGTTAGCCAGACTCTGTGAGTGTCTGTTTGTCCTCAGGATGCAGCTGCCCCTGCCTCACGTCCGTGTTCATGCTGCTGCTGAGGATGCTGCCCTTGGCTCCTTCAGGATGCAGAGAGCTCATCGCCTCCTGCAGCCACTGCAGCTCAGAGTTCAGCTCCTGCCTCAGAGCGTCCAGCTGACTCTCCCTGTGGCTGTACTTCCCACTGATGCTCTCCAGACTGGCATCGATAATCTTCACGTCCTCCTGCAGCAGCCTCCTGGTTGCCTCCACTTTACGGAACTCATAGTGGACCTGAGACAGCTGCTTCCTCGCAGTCTCGCTCTCCTCCTTGTACCAGGCCTCCTTGTCGTTGTAGATGGACAGGAGTGCTTCTACATCGCCCTGCAGAGTGTGCCGTGCTTCTGACACCTCCGACAGCCTTGTCTCCATCAGACTGAGGTCCTCCACCACATGTGCAAAACGCTCAAAGTTGGCGTACGTGTTGTTCTGGGGCATACTGAAATGGGACTGGATGGTGTACTCCTTTAGCCGCTCAGTCTTCAGCTGCTCCACTTTCTTCTCAGCCTCAGGGGCAGTGCTTTCCTCTTCCATGTAGTCGCAGGACTTCAGACAGAAGGGTGAAGGGGGGACACTGAGTGAGAGGCTGTCTCATTGTTGCATCTTGAAAACACACACAGCGATGAATATCCCAGCAGATGTGGCGCTGCAGGGTTAGTGTGGGACCCTACAGCGAAAGCCATGGCAGGTAAGAGTGCCACAAAAACACAACAGACATTCCTGTACAGGATGTTGTGTTTCCTGGCTTCATGCTTGAATCCAAACAGGACGAAGACTCCGGAGCAAACACCATTCACATGCATCTCTGCAGCTAATGTTGGAGTAGAGGTCTTCAACATTACAGAGGTTGTTAAATGTCCATGCCACACCTTGATGATTTAGTTCAATCGCTTGAATTTCTAGACAAAATGTCGGACTGTAAAAGTGTGTAGAGGTGGAGAGAAACTTACCACATGTACCTAAGTAAAATGTTGATGTACTTGTACTTAAATGGACTATTTCCCTTTACTGCTACTAGTATTTACATATATTAATATTGTATTTTTTACTCCACTTAATTAATTTGCAGATGTAGATTAACTAAACAAAATATAAACGACAAATAAATTAAGACCAACCAGTGGAGAACAAAGTATAATAATACAACTAATAATAATAATAATAATATGAAGTATATATTATTCTGACATCTGCATAAAAACTACTTTTTACCTTTATATATATAAAAGTATCTAATGTGTATATTTTTGTTTATTTAAGTATGTTTTACTACTAATACTTTAGTACTTTTTTGTATTTCATTGTATTATTGATGAATTTACAAAGTCTAAGTACTTATATCTTCAGGGAGAGGGTGTGGTACAGCGATGGAAACAATATATAGTGACTGATAAGTATATTTTCAACAAGCTAGACATAAAGTAAATAAAGTTAGTGCATGAACTTTGTGAGCATGCACATTTACAAGATGGATTTTCCTTTTCAATGAGAAACAAACCTATACACTGGTGTTACCTTTGACATCAACTGTTAAGTGTTGTTTTAGCATGTAGCAGGAGTTAGTTATTGAGAAAACATGCTATAATCGCAGAAATCAAGAGCATACCTTAATCCAGTGATGGTTGAGGGCCTCTTGTATGGTCATCCGTTTTCTGAAGCGATGATAGAAGGAAAATGTCTCTCAGTAAATACACCAAAACAACTCCATGACACGCAAAGCAGACTGAGTATACACACTTTAATAAGGGAATAGGAAAACAGGTTAAGCGAGAAGATCACATTGTGCAAGGAACGACACAACATCCTTTTAACTATTATTTACTTTGCAGTTAACTATGTAGCCTGTTGTTCAAATATAAGCTGAATGATATCCTTGCTTTACATTTCTGTGGCATTTCATTCAGTTGGATCAGGTTTGCATATTATGTGCACATTATTTGCACTTTAATGCAGAGAGTCCTCCAATACTGGGCTTTATATGGAGTTGTCTGACCTCACCTTAGGCCTGAAGTTGTTAATCAGTTATTTACCTCGTGTCCTTCACCAGGAGCTGACTGATGAAGCTCTTGGCCAGCTCGCTTGTATTGCTGAACAGCTCTTCGTCAAACTCGTAGTCCATCGCCGAGATGTTTCCCAGTGTTTCCTGCTTCGTGTCACCGAGAAAAGGAGACGCGCCGCTCAAACTGGAAAAACATACACACACTCACTTAGACCATCCTCAAAGTTTCTTTATGTATAATCAGATCTCCAATTTCCAATCACAAATCATACCAACTTACAGTATATATGTGATGACTCCGATGCTCCTGTGAACAAACAGCACAATGTTAATCTAAAGTGATGCCGTGCAGCGTATATGGATGGCAGCAGTCAGAGGTAATTAAAAGCTCGTACCACATGTCTGCCTCCAATCCCAGTTGCTCATAGTTGACTATCTCTGGAGCTGAAAATAGACACACTCTGCTTCACAAACAGCGCTAGGCCAACACCAAGCCTCCTCTTAAAATGTCCTTCATTGCAAACACATTGCATATTGAAACACTTACCAACAAATTCAGGGGTTCCAAAAATGTTTTTGAAATCTGCCCCTGCTTCTATTTTGTGTGCCAGTCCAAAGTCTATAATTTTGATGCGAGGTAGACGAAGGTTCCTGTCCAGCAGCATTATGTTTTCAGGCTAAAGTGCAAACAAAGAAAAACACAGGACAATTTGTCAGCAGATTTCTACTGACACCAAGGTTTGGCGATTCATAAACATTAAAACAAGTTACCTGGGTAAACAACCTTTTGTGTAAGCATTAAAAAAGAAATTTAAATGGTTACACTCTTTCTTGTAAGCGTGAGAGACACAAATATTAAACCACATCTTGGAAAAGGTGGTTAATCACTTTCTTGTCGAGAGATAGCAAAGAGAAGATTGATATCACAGTCATGTTTGTACACAAAACAGGAAGCTTCCCCATGCAGCTGGTTTGGCTCAGTCAATAAATAACTACATCTTTTGCACCTCTAAATGTAAGCTTAGCTAAATAAGATAAGTTAAGTTTTTTATTAAATCCCTCTAAAAGTAATAGTGAGAACAAATCACTTTGCAGAGTTAATGCTATTATGACTGTTATTGGTCGGGACAGCTACAGGAAGTTACAGAACCCAACTAACACAAAGCTGGGAAAAAGTTCAGCACATACACACGTGTTGTACGTAGGTAGGTTCCTCTAAATTAATATAAAAGTTACAAGCCCTATAAAGTCCACACTGACTGGAGAGACGGTTTCAACCATTTCCTAAACTGGTTAACCTGATTTCACGGAAAAGGCTAAGCATTAATGAGTGCACAGATCGTTCATTGTGGACTAAAGTTCATGGCCTCTGGCTGGTTGGAATGAAGCCTTTCACTTTGTGTTCTTTTTCCTTAATTGCCAGACTAAAATAATTTAAAGTGATGAGGAGCTTTAGCTGCTGGAAAACAGGACAGTGACTATCAGCAGCGTGCGTGACAGTGCTCTCTGAAAGTGAGGAGATAACCCTGTGGTGTCTTTATCTGAGAGTCTGGACTTCAGCCACAGAGAACAGGAAGGATGTGCGATTCGAAATAGCGAGACTCTTCCGTCACAAAGCTACATTAAACACCTGCCACTAAAGGATATCATCATAATAAGACATACTTTCATATACATGTATTTACACAAGATAAGGAGCAGGCTGTACCTTTAGATCAAAATGCACAATCCTCTTGGAGTGGAGGTACTGGACTCCATCTAGGATCTGTTTGATAAACTGAGTGGCCTCCTCTTCACTGAGAGATTCCTTCTGAGCCAAAAAATCAAACAGCTCTCCTCCAGACACCCTGTGAGAGAAACACACACACACACACACACACACACACACACACACACACACACACACACACACACACACACACACACACTTAGAGACTCATCTAGTGGGCTCAGATCATCTGGAGCAAGGACTCTCTTGAGCGCTATCTAAAGTGAGTTCTCAGGATTTGGAAGCGCTGGTTCAGGATGTTTTAGATAATTGTTTGTAATAATAAACTTGCCATAGCTGTGACCCATATTACTTTGCATAATGAAATACTTGAAAAAGGTGGTGAAATGTGGTATAGAGCGGCCTTTAAATAGCTGGCAGCCAATAAACATGGCCTTCTTTTATATGAACACACGAATAGACCGAATGTCACACAGTGTCTTCTCCTGCATCTAACAGGAACTGTTGGTCTGTTCCCTCTGCTTTGATTGGACAGAGCTTTCTTTTAGCCCCAATTGAGATCTCCATGTTCCCGGCACTCGCTGGACCCAAGCGGCGCCCTCTGAGGACTCTTTTCAACACAAGCCACTCTGAGAGAGACATTCAGTTCTTTGGCACACGTGATATTGGCAACATTTCTTTTTTAGCAAACACAGATTCAGAAAGAGTGGATTTTGTAGAGATGTTTTCATGTTTTAACGCTCTATTTCTAACAGGTATTGTGACGGATTGCTGACTTACAGTCCGAGGATGAGCACCACATCTGTGCGGTTCTCATACACGTCATGTAGAGATACGATGTTGTTGTGCTGGAGCTGCTGCAGGATGTCCACTTCCCTCTCAATCTCCTCTCTTTTAATGCCACGTCTGCTGGCCCGACTCTGACGCTTCTTGATGAACTTGGCTGCATATTCGACGCCTGTGCTCTTCTCTATGCAGCGTTTGACAATTGCAAACTGCCCACTGTAGACACAAAAGAAGAAAAAAGGCACTGACATTATGAAATGCTAATAACGTAATGTGTTTATATTAAAAAGGTATCGTATTTCAAGAGAGAGAACAATTTATTATGACATTCTTAACAATTAACAACAGGATATAACTCGGGGTGAAGACAGATGTCAAGGAGGAAGACGTGTGTCAAACCTGAGGAAATATTGAGGTATAGTTCATCACTTCCTGTTTCCTGGCCAGACAGAGAACAATCAGATAGGCTTGCAGTGCGGACAGAGCTGCTGTCCTCCCACTCAACCAACCTTCCTGCTAGATTTGAAGCTATTCTTCGTCTCGAGAATTAGTCCTCAGAAAAAATCCCCAAAACCCTGAATATTTCACAACAGAGGTGTGGCTTTGAGACCGTCTCCCAGCAGATAATTGTTTCACTTTTCACTCTACAGCCTGTGGACTTGTGATTGAAGCTAGTACATTTATTTAAATCCTGTAGACTAATGTTGCCCTAGCCTAACGACAGGGATGGTGACTGCAGTAAACTTGTTAAACTTTATTATCACCCTCCCCTCACATAACAACACAGTCAGTTCACTTATAATTGACCCACTGAGAAGTGTCAAAACATCTTCCAGCGCTGTCGCCCAGTTAAATACATGTGTTGAGTCTCCATGGCTGTATTATCAGACCAGCAGTAATCTCAGCTTGCGGCCACTCCTGCTGCTGTGGGCTGACCTGCACTCTCTGTAGATTCAGACTCTGAAAACAAGCCTCTCAGTCACTGATCCTGCAGAATAACATGAGGGCGAGTGAAGAGGCAGAGCTGGCAAAACGTTTCTGAGTTGGGAAGATGAGACAGAAGAGGAACATTCAGTCCACTTTGCGTTCATTCGTGATTGGATAAAACCTATTAACGCCTGTAGAAAGAAGAATTTACTGTAAAACCGTGGTAATTATTTGATGAAACATAGGCCTACAAGTATTTGTAGACACTGTGAAATAACACACAGAGAGAGGACACAGATAATTACTGGCAGGCATATGTTTTGGACATAACTGTCCACTGAGATTCCAGGGTGGCTGTGAGAGGCTGTCCAGTCTGTGTCCACTATCATCACGGTGTCTAGTGCGCTAAGAATAGGCTCTTCTCCACCTGCCACATATCCACTGCTGCTGGGGAGAAGGGCAAAGCCTGCTAGAGCTGCTGGGTGAAGGCTGTCCAAAACACATATCAGATACTGGGGCTGAAGCTTTAAAGCATCTTTTATTAATGTTGACATTAACATGTTTTAATCAACAATAGAATTCTGTGCATCTTTTTGATTGTTGCTTGCCTACTCTATTATTTTAAATGTACTAAATTGTTAATTATTTAATTTGTCCATCCAGCATATTGCAGATAATAAGAAATAACACTTTAATACTTTGTCTTATACTATTTGAAGAATTATATTCCAATAGTGCTTGGGTTGGTTTGTTTATAATTCATGTAGTCCAAACATTTCTAAAGACTCAAGAGTGTTGTAAAGTCTCTAAGTCAAAATGTAAAATAAAAATAAGAAGGTGGATGTTATTATTTCCATCATTTACAACATAATTTCATCTAAATATATATCCTGATTCAATCCATATTTGTGAATGTCATTTAAAAACAAAAGTTTGCACAACGACGCAAAAGTTAAATTCATTATTCAGTTTATTTATTAAGGAAAAAAACTATTGAGTTTAACACTAATCCATTAATTTATGGTTGCGACATCATTTATTATCTATTCTACTAATACTCTGTTTCTTCTTGCACATTTTAAATGTAATCCTAAAATGTGTTTTATTGTTTTAAGTCTTATCTTAATATGTTACATTGTTAGAGGAGCTTATGACTTAAGATCTTCATTGCCATCTCTATACTGTGCATATGCATACTGTGCGACAATAAAGGCTTTGAATCTTTGAATTGAATCAAGACAGAGACTTCAATTGTAAAAAACTGACATTTGTTCCTTATGGATAAAAACTGTGCTCCAACCGTACTAACAAAGAGACAGCTCCGTCCCAACAATAAACAAAAACATGGATTAAATACACAAGGAACTTTCCTTAACCGCATTATTGCTGGGTAGTTGATCCAGTTTTCTCTGGTTGAGGCACACCCTGTCCTCTGCAGTGAAACGTTGCATCGCTATTAAACAACAGCTACTGGGATGTACTTTAACCACATACACTGGAGGGACAAAATGAGAACATCAGATATTATGCTGCGGCCTCAAACATCTGAATCAACAATTCTTCAACAATCTAAGAAGAAAACTTAACTGTAAGTGTCTCAAACACACAGTAGTATTAGTTGAAGGGCACTTGTATTGGATTGCATTAAATTGCCCAGGTGTTTTAAATGCCTCAGTATATAGCTTCTAGGTTTCTGAGAGGTTTATGTAACCACAAAGCCTCTGGGAGTTATTATTAAGCTTTTTAGTTCATATCAGGGCAACAAAAACCCCTGTCAGGATCAGATATCAGTGGGAACATGACCTGTAACAGAGAATGCAGGAGATAGTTGAGGGTGTACATCGTTAAAAAGGTCTTCAAAGAGACACACACTCCACAAAGGAAAAACATGGCAGGACAGGACAGGGCAGGAATCTGAAATACTCCAGTTTCACAGGACATTTCCACCCCTGAGACATCCCCGAACACTGAAACGACTACGATAATGTGTGACCTGAGGAGAAGGGGAACTCGCTCAATGAATTCCACTTGCATAAACAAACAACACACTGAAAGGATGGCCTGTCACGTGGCAGCAGCAGTGTCCTTGATTTGGACAGAATGACCCCTCGTGGTGTTTCTTGTGGGCCAACGCAAGGGGCTTTGCTGAAGTGTTGCTACGAGGTGCGGAGTAACACTGGGAAAAGCGGGGATGCTGGGAGTGGTATTCCACAGCGGGCCAGGCGTGCCGGCTGTCTTAGCTCTAATCCGACCGGTGGGGCTGAAAGCACCGTCTCCCCGCTGAGTTTCCACTTCCAACAGCTGAAGGTCATTATCCACAGCCAAGGTTGGAGGAATGCTCGGACAACTGGCGCCGGCCCAATATTCAAACACATTTCTCAACTGAACCTCTGGGGTGGTGTTACAAAGACAGCCAGATATATAATTGACCGAGCCCAGTCCCTAACCATCTGTGATCTTCAGTGACGAAGAAGCAGCTCAGAATATGACTCATCATTGCATTAAATATAGTTTTATCGAGTGTTGAAAACCCTATTATCATGAAATGTATCACAATTATGACCATAACGTGTTCAGGATACTCTAGTCTAGATTCCCTCTTGTTTTGATGTTGTCCAATGTCAACAATGCATCTGGCTGTGTGAGTGTCTGCTGACAGTAACACGGTGACCTCTGTCAAAGGGGGAACTCCGGGAATGCCGAAGAGGCCAACGTGGAGTTCCCTGCGTCAGGCTGCACTGAATAAACACATTTTTCACCCACTCAACAGCAAGAATGTCTGTTCCTTACAGCTGACTACACTCATTCTTATCCCCCTCCTTGTGCCTACTGTGCCCTCTACACATCATGTACACTAGATCCCTTTGGTGACATTTTAGCACCATAATGTGTTCATCGGCAGCACCTGTCTTGTGACTGTCAACTATTTTCACATCAACACATCTCACGCCTGTGAGGGCTGCGGCCTTAAGTGTGAATCGCCACCCTCTCTGCATCCTGTCCAAAGACATCAGACTTCTGCTAACTGAAAACATTTCTCTAACTCATTTCCCTTTTGCATGCACTCAGCGAGTATTTCTAGAAATGAAAGATACAGCAGTACACAGAAAAAGAGTGTAAAATACATTGCATATTAAGGGTTGGTGTGATGTGACCTTTTCAGTGTTCCTGCATTCAGTTGGATTTGAGTAATATAATAACAACAGACTACAGACAGCAGCTCTGTGCAGATGTAGTTAGGGACAGTGATACTTTCCAACCCTGCACCACGTCTTTTTGTTCGGTCGGGTCTTGGAAGACAGGACGCTGTGTGGTTCATAAAAACATTTTCTTACTCAATATCAAGCCACGATTATTATTTTTATTTTTAATTGTATAATGTTGGACTTTTTTTGCCGTCTGTGAGGAAAATAAATGGGGCTCAGAGCCTCAGAATACTGATTTGTTATGATTTGGTGCAAGCACGAAACATACTACCAATAGAAATACATCGTTCTGTGTCAGACTACTGAAATCTGTATTTTTTAATGTTTTTTTCCTTCTTATTTGTTATTATTTACATTGCTTTTAAAATCGTTCTGTGTGACATGAGAAAAAATGTGAAAACCGTGTTGGTGAACACGAATCAATAGGTTGCATTTCGTGACTATAACACGAAATGCCGTGAGACTGGGTTGGATGGTGATGCCAGAGGAAAAGTCAGAGGATCACCAAAGTTAGCATCCTATGTGTGATAAATGTCTGTTCATTAGTGTATTTGCAATCCAAAATTGTCAAGTTAATTCAGGCTAGACCAAAGCAGTGGACCCACTGAAGATATTGCTGTCGCTAGAGCCATGACCAGCAGGGCTGAAACAGAAAGTCCATTATGATGAAAGTGCAGTATTTCACGGATTAAAAAATTAGGAGGAAGTTTACAATCCTTTTACTATGCAAAGACAATGGCACTTCCTGTCTAATGATGCATCCTGTGAATTCTTGCCGTAGCTTGATGATGACTAACACAGATGATGCATTAACAATAATGTAATAAAGGTATAGAAGTACTCCGGTGTTCTGAAAAAACATGGACAAGAATGAACCTGTTGTTATAGGTACAGTTCACAAATTTCTCCATCTGCTCTACTGTCACTTGTGTAACAGTTCATAGTCTCAGCAGTATTGATGGAGGACAGGACAGCTGTGGGTTAACACTCTATGGTTAACACTGAAACACTTCCTGCTGTACGTCATCATAAGTCTGTGTCATCACTCAGATGGTAAGACAGGAAAGTAAATGCCTAACGTCCTGAGCAAAGGGTTGTTCTACAGATTAGTTTACCAAAAACTATAGTCAGTAGTGGAAAGGAACATTGAGTACAACTGCGTGGGGCCTTTGACATTACAATCTTTCAATAGGGTTGCAGCATGATGAATCCACTTTCCTGCAGCTAATGGCTCAACAGTTCCATAGGGTTCAGAACATCTTAAATACTTAACACAGATCAGTTTTTGGCCCCCCATATCAAATTTCCCCACCCTCTTGAGAGGAGGATTGAGTAATATTTCCATCGTGACGTGCATTGGAGAGCTCATGAGGCTTTGGCAGACTGTAAGCGGGGTGGGCTTCATCCTACAAAAACACTACAAAGTTGTCACAACAATTCAGAAGAACTGCAAGCTAAGAAACCCAGCTGCTGAATTGGTTTTAAAGTTCTCTGAAACTTTCTGTGACTGAAAAGGCATTTCTGTTGGCTTTTAACCACATACATTTCCCATGACGGAAATGCTGAGCACAGACAGAGCTCAGCCCCCAGCAGGGTATTCTTATCAAGTAACATGTTTCCAACCACAGTGGTATTGTCAGTCTTCAAACAACACATTTATACGCCTTTCATACAGCAGATTTACTCTCCAGTAACACCCTTTATCAATCCTTTACCTACTGTATATACGCTATGGACTTTTTATATACTTTTGTTTAGAGTTCTACTCTTGAAAAATAATTCAGTATTATTTCATTTATTAGAATCTATGAATAAGAGCTACTGTTGCCTCTTTAATAAATCAAAAGGGTACCTAATATTTGAGAATAATATTCTTACTCATTAATAAAGACGATAACACATTAAGCTCACAAATGTTAATACATTAGTATAGATTCCGACATTCCATTGTCATTTAAGCAAATTGCATTATTATCCTCATAACAATACATCTTTCAATTTACAGATGCATTTCATTATTTCATGAGGCAGATATCTGTGAAGCAAAATGAGGAGAGAGATTCCTGGACACACACACACTCTGACTCTTCTGTACAGAGGTTTAAATGCAGCTGGAGTCACATTTCAACACCAGGTCTTAATTTCCCCTGTCAGGGTGTGTCAGAGTAGCCCTGCAGTAAATGGCGAGCAAAACACCGGGACATTAAGTATATTTTCACTATTAGTGAAAGGTGAGAGGTCAGACCCTTTTCTTTCCTCTCTGTCTGTTAGCGAGTCGCGCACATGCCAAAGCTGTCCTTAACGTGAAGAGTAGATTTGTAGCTTCCTCAACACGAACTGCACCCTGCAGACTTCCTTTAATCTATTTCCCCTTGGGACAAAATGTTTTCAATGTCACATTTGATTATCACTCATCCAATCAACATTAAGAAATTGATACCCCAACAATCACCAGTTAATGAAATTAGACTCTCTTTCCTGGTTAGAACATATTATCATGCCCAAACAGAGGTTGTTTTCCTAGAGTGTATTTACTTTTGAGACTTTATCTCTCGCTGTAAACTTCAACCTACTTCAACACTCCCCATTTCATGCTTAAACAAGCCAGCTGTTTGCAGACCTACATCCACACATGAGGATCACTGCTGTGGTACGACAGGCATGCAGTGGAGAGCTGAGTCACTCTTAGTCATACGAACATGAGGAGGATCATTTTGTAAGGGGTTGAAATCAACATTTCATAATGTACAGCTTTGAAACACACTTACCTTCCTAGTTCTTCCCCAATTTCATAGAAATCGTCCACATTCTGTTGCTTGAATACCGCCATGCCAGGCGTCTTCATTGATGTGATTTATCTCCTTGATGAGTACCACTGGAGCCCTTCTATTCAGAAGTCTTCTTCTCCTAATCAGCAAGTCCAACCCTGCGGATAAAGAGGAGTTCCTGGTGATTTCTGACAGAAGAGATGAATATGTTTACAAGTTCCAGCTTGCTGTATAGCATTCCATCGCAGAGGTGTACCTACTTTCACTGCATGTTGAGAAAGCTTTAACAACAGCAAAGGAGGTTTTTTAAATCAACAGCAAACACAATCTAAAAATATGCACTTAATCCGTCTTTCATTTGTCTAAATACTGTTTATTAGAAAGTTTAGAAACTAACAGGCACAACTCATTAAACAGTGCCAAATTGGGAAGTGTAACAGTAGCAGGAACAGTCGAATGATTACAACAGGATTACTAATTAAAGGAAAGAGCATTTTGGGTAATTAGGGCAGGATATGTGAAATGTGCTACTGTTATGAAACCCTTAGTCTGGCTAAAAGGCTGACATTGGCAGCAACACATGCTTTAGAACTCTTAACAATGTTACTGCTCTGAATTAGTTTAAAAACAGAATAGTTATCCAGTGAAAAACAATTAGAGAAACCCCTTTGGTACATACACAAATGTAAAGAAGAAAACTGAAATACTAGACTTTCGTTTTATGTCACACATGAAGTGGCTCCACAAACTGACCTTATGTTGTAACTTATTTTGGACGCAGAGCTGATGATAAACTTGCATCGGTTCTTTACAGTCGGTTGTCTGTCCTCATGGCTGCAGTTCAGGCACACAACGTTCCTCTGTTGTTTTCTGTCACTTATGGCAGCTCCATCAGGCTTTTGTGTCTTCAGAAGTCCCTCCCCCCGATGGCTCCATTATGAAACAGCATGCATGAGAGGCAGGCTATCAATAAAGATGACCGAGATGTCTGCTGTTTATTTTGAACAAGCATTTTAGGAACTGAGGATTACCAAAGCAAGCTGTTTCTTTTTACTTATAAACAAGTCACACTCAGTCAGCCATTGTTTATTGAATGTGTCTTTTAGCTGGTATTACAAAAACATAGTGGCGTATACTTAATGCTTTAATAATTAATTGATACAGATTAACAATGAACAAGATACCATAGAGGTTTACATATAAAGAAGTGAAGTACCCCATATAATTCTGAAGTCAACTTCTCATTATACTTGTGCAATACATTGCTGGGAAAGAAGGCAACAGAGAAAAGAAGGAAAGGGTGATACAATAAATGTAGCTTTTTCCATATGAAAACAAAAGATAAATGTGAACCAGCCGTATATGTTTTAAAATATGGGCAAAAGTACTGTATGACAAAATGAATGGGTACCCAGAAACTTTTTTTTATATCTCAAACCAATCAAAGTCAAATCTCTAGAGAGGCCTGCTCTCATGGAGAAATACAAAAAATCCATCTCTGCTTCTACAGGTCATCCAACATTCCTGTATCCCTCATTATGAACGACTACAATTATAACAACTGTTAACAAGTTCAGGTGGTCTAACAGAGAAGTAACATGATGCTAGCTGATCTGTAGAGAAAGGGAAGTCAATGATATAACGTACAGCAAGGAAAATCTGTAAACAGCTTAAAAGTAACGTAAAAATAACAGTAACTGTAAACAATATATCAGCATACAAGAGAAGCGGCTAAGTAATTACATGTCTGTCTCCCTGTCTTGAAGATTCCCATTCAAACAACAGTTTTCCACTGTGGATTTACCAAATATAAACATGGTTTCTTTCTAAGCAAGTACTGTAGATCCGTTTTCCGCAACGGGCGGGTCTGTTAAACATTATACATTGTAAAACAAATAAATGTCGTAAAATAGAATACTGTCACAGTGCTAAAGTCAACTGTCTTTTGTAAGTAGGCTACCTGGATGTGGAAGAAAGATGTTGCTACACACGTCTTGAAATATCCTGAAACACTTCCCTCATAGATTACAAATCATATTTCAATTTTTCACAAACAATCATACCGGCAGATGGACTACACAGCCATTTTATCAGTACAGTATAATAAACTGTATAAATCATACTGTGTGGAGGGTACCTGTGAACAACTGTAAACACAAGCGAGACACAATGTTATACTGCCACACTGTGGACAAGAGATGCAAATACATCAGAGGAGAAATAACAGCATTATGCATGTATATCTGGCAAAATAAGGGGAAATTGAACGCTTTAAACACCTAACAAACCCAATTTATGTTTAGAAAAATTAAGACATTACTAAAAACAAGTCATGGAAAATTACTCTAAATTCACATATCTTAGAATACGTCAAATAAAATGGTCAGACCGGTCATTTCTAAAACCAAATCCACTGCCTGTTACTTTTTTTTTACAAAGTTTAAGCGCAAATTTAGATGTAAACAAGTATTCGTTTGTCAGACATGTCTTTGGGAACATTGAGTAATTAAGTGGAATTTAAGTTTAAAATGATATAACAAAAAATTATCTCACAATTTGGAAGTTATTTAATCTGAATCCTGAGATAATAAAATGGGAAAATTCTTCCTCGTAATGTTGCTGTTTTACTAATAATTAATACATGGGATTCTTGAAAACGCCTTTGTGTGTATTCTTGCACGATGTGGAACGACTGTGATCATAAGGCTCTAAGACTTTTCAGCGCATTTTGAATTTCAGCATAAGTGATTTAAGTGCATTTGATAGACAAGGATAAAACACAAAAGTGTGTTGTTGAGTGGCATCGGGAAAATATAAAAAGAATGATTAAGGTAAACAATCTGAAGATATGTCTGAAATGAATTGGGGCAGAGACAGCAAAAAGTAAAACAAAAGAAAAATTACAATACAATCAATCCTTCAACGGGCACAGAATCGCCGAAGATTAAAAGATCACAGCCAAGTTGAAAAAAGAAATACTGATTCAGACGGCAAAAGTAAAGTTTGGCATTGAAGTGGAAGAAACATGATGAAGCATATAATAATAACGATTTTCTTTTTTTCTAAATGGCAGGAATACTGATAGAAAGCCCATACGGCTTGTAATGTTTTGGCCTTTTGATGCAGTTTCAATCAAAATGTAGAAAAGTTGATTAGTCTGTCTCGGAAAACAACTCCAACAATCCTTTAGGAAACTTCCCTTTTCAACTGCGACACATCAGGGACTTCTAGACATGACGTCTTCATACTTCAGCAGCAGGCTTAACCTCAGTTATCCTCCTCATCGTCACTGACGAAGCTCCGCCTGTCCTGAGTCGTCTCTCTCTCCCGGAGGAAGGTCTGTCTGATGGCCTCCAGCTCCGTCAGCTCCAGACGGACCTTCTCCAGGTGGAAGGAGCGGCGGTTCTGGATCGACCGCATTGGGAACGGGTTCATGTCCCCAAAAGCGATGTTCATCAGCTTCCTGAAAAAACAAAACAAGGATATCAGTCTGGGATGGCTTGCTTTTATTCTGCATGCCGTCCTGTTTAATATGTTTCAAGTTACAACTCATAGACTGTAGATAAGATGTTTGTTTGTAAACTGGCCACAGAGCATGAAGATATGATAAGCCATTGCGGACGCTGTACCTTGAATCCAGGATTGTGCGTGTGAAGTATCTGAGATATTTGAAGATAGCTGTGGAATCATCTAGCTTCAAAAACTCTTCCTCTTTGTACTTGAAGAGAGCGAGGGCGCAGCGAAACATGATCTGTGGAGAAAAATGACCAAAGCCATGAAATCTATTTCATGACTATCCATGCATGACATTACGATAATGAAACATATCACATCATGCCTCTGAAATGCGAGGACACTTTAAAAGACTAGAGGCGATTCTTATTTATTTTAGAGGAATGTCTGAACAAACAGTCTTGTTATGAAAAAAAAGTGTTTCATTCATCAAGTTAACACCTGAACAAAATTGTGAATCCGACCACAGAGCAGTGCATAGGATCTACATTAATAAAGTGGCTTTAATCTATATATTCATACGGCAAGAATGGCATCAACATGACTTGTGTGTTAAAGTGTTTGCTCATAGTAATGAACACACAGAATTATTACAAAACTTTGCTGTTCCTCTCAGCTCTACTGAATAGCTTTAGAGCTTTATTTATTAACTTAGTGTTTTGGTTTGTTGGCTCACAAGTTCAACTATACTGTTTGAATTCACCTTCATCCCTCTGACTGATATTTTCATGAAAAAGCTCAACAGACTTTGCGTCCACCAGCTGAACCACACAAAAAAAGCAGACAGCCAAAGTCTTCAGATCAACTGGTAAACACAGAATATGGAGGACACCAAAACCGAAACTAAAAAGAAAAGTGAATATTTGTTTTAGTCACAACCACAATTCCAAATGAATGCAATGTTGCTATGGTTCTGCTGGATAAATGAATAACAAATTCCACAGCCCGAAACAGAGATAAACAGTGACAAAGCGGTTAGCAAACAATTTCCTTGCAAAAAAGAAACAGGCTTAAAAGCTCTTATAGACGGTTGTGAAGGGTTTGGTGAAAACACATGTGGGTTCTTCACTATGAGCTGCTGGTTAGATAAGGTTGGAAAACAGTGGGTTGAACCAAACAACTGGCACTTGTGGGAACTTGAACAAGCAGAGAACTGATCGTACATACCATCTGTAGAAGAAGGCCCATTTAAATTCAGCCAACTGAAATGCTACAGCCCTTTTTTTGATGCTCTCCTTATCTAATTTTGTAGCTTCCTTCAGAGCTCTGCCAGCATGTCCAGACAGAAATCAGGTTATGTGAGCTCAGAGGATCAAAGCTTTACGGACTCGTCTGCCTCTCACCTTTGGACCTTCGTAGAGAAAGGCATCCCAGATCTTGAAGAGGATGTCGCTCACCACACTGTCCACAAACACCACCAGGAACCAGTTGAAGGTGATGAGGGAGAAGTCTACCTTGTACTGCTCGAAGTGGACATGAAGCCGGGGGAGCTTCTCACACATCAGATCCTTGAACACACGCTGGTCAACCTGCACAGATCCAACCAACAAACATTATTTAATTCTTCATCATGAACATTGTTTTACAATAGGATTAACCATGGGGTCAAATCCAGAGGAGAGAAAGGAATCAAACAGTGCAGATCACTAGTGCTGCATTATTCTACAATCAATTATAAGTCACATGAATACGACCAAACTGAAAGCAGTGAAACCTGTACACTCTGGTTAATGAGGCAGAAACATGTCTCTATGTGTCCCAATGCTTGTTTACCTGTGAGCCAAGCAGAGTCTTTGTGTAATAGTCTCTTGGCATGAAGACCTCCACAATGGCTATAAGGCACCAGAAGGCGTCCTCTTGGTCCAGATAGAGCAGGGCAATAGCTGCCAGCCTGAAGAAATGACATACAATGAATATAAGTGGTTAAAGGGCATAAAAGAAGAGAAGGAGAGATGGTAGAGTCCGCCTTGTACCTGTTGAGTCCCTGGCAGTAGCCGATATCCGGATTCCTCCAGGAGAAAGCCATCAGGACGTTCCTGAGTTTCTGGATCCCGCCGGCACTCGGGGAGGAATAGTGCTTGTTGTTGGGCAAAGTGCGCAGTAAGTCCAGCTCGATCTGCTTGGAGGCCGGGTTGGGCTTGTCCCGGGCCACGTTCAGTAGGGTCTCATAGTAGTCTGCCGGCAGGTGGTCCCTAAACTTCTTGACATGGAAGGCAACGCACCAGCGCCACACCTTGGAGCGGTGCTCATGGGGAACGCCGCTCCGAAACAGGGCCTTGAGCTCAGGGGAGCGCACCATGTCTCTGTTCATGATGCTGGACAGATAGTTCTCCCACTTCACCCCGACAGACACCTCCTGATCCGTCATGGAGAGGGACTTCAGCTCCAGAGCTCTCACCTTCGCATCCAGCTTCTCCTCCTCTTCCTCCTCCTCAGGGACGGTTTTGAAGCCGAACGTGTCATACTCACTGATATTAGATCAAGGAAGAGAGAACATGGGGGAGATAATCATCAATCAGTGATGCTAAATTCACTATAACAGTTGTTTACACTTTTATAGGGACCCACATTTGCTTAACCTGCTTTCAATGCTACATCAGTTACTGTAGAGATCGCCTGAATTTCTAATAATACATGCTTGAGCTTGCAGAGCAACAGCAATAGCAAACAAAATACTAATTAGCAGAGCTAGTTTTTCCAGTAAAGAGAAAATGAAAACAGATCTGATGAAGACATTATATTATTAGGTCTACTCTCCTGCAATGGGTTTGTCTTTTATATGTTGTTAGATATATTTTAGTGATACTCTGGATACATTTGAACTACAATGTGATAGCCTCTACATGTAGTTGTTTGCAAAACATGTATAAATTAACTGAAACATGTATTTTAAATTCTGTAAAATAGTTTTAACTTGCTCTTACAACTTAGACCCTTATATAAATCAGTTAAAATCAGAACATTATAGAGAAATGAAACATACTTTTAAGTGTGGGAAAAAAAAACATCTATCGTAACATCCATTCATAAAGGCTTTTTGACCATACCTGACAGTATTTGGTTTGAAGATGAGGTGGTCCTGCTGGTCGGAGCTCTCTACCTGCAGCGCGTCCTCCAGTAATCTGGAGATGACCTCGCGGGCTGGGCTCTGCTCTGAAGACGAACACACTGGGTTCTTCACTTCTTGAAGCAGCACCAGATACTTACTCTCCACCTGACACAGCTTGGCCTCCAGGGACGTATACTGCAGCAGAGATAACAGAGAAATATAATCAGCATCTTTGTTATCATAACTGACGGCAGGCAAGATCATGTTGCATTATTCATTGCTTTTACTTGGGATTTTGAGGTTAAGGGGGCCAATGCTGGACTTCCTCTGCTAGCTACTCAGACTTCCTGTTTCTATTAACAGAATTACACCATTACGAACAAACACAAGATATACCTTTGCTTCTAAGGTCTTTTCTCTGCTCTCTGCATTCCTGCGTAACACGGTCAGCTCCAGGATCTCTTTGTTCAGGAACTTGTTCTGGGTTTTGTAGCCTTGAAGACTGTCCTGAAATTGGAGAAACATGTATTGGGTTACGCAGAGTAAAACATTAACTAGAGCATAATCAAACCATGAGAAAAAAGCTTTAAAATGTCCACAGTTTAAGAAATTAATTCTAAAACCTAATATAATTGATATAGTCCTATACACTTTCAGTTCAGATGATCTGTCTACATTCTATTTGCTTTAAATCTGGTTCCTCATGTTTCTTTCTGTACCTTGAGGATGTCTACCTCCTGCTGATCTTTGTAGGGAGGGGGTGAACCGTTGTCTGGGTTGCCGCTCTGCTCGGAGCCCTCCTGCGACAGTTTGATGATGACTTCATCTTTGGCCTGGATGGTCTCCATCAGCATCCCCAGCTGGTCGTTTATCTCCCCCACCTTTATCTTCAGGCCCTTCAGCTCTTGTTGCAGACTCTCCTTCTCTAAGGCGAGGCGCTCCATGTGGGCACACAGGGCCTGGATCTGTCCGTCTTTCTCCTGAAGCAGGGCCTCCGCCTGGGCGACCCCTTCCTGGGTTACGACCGGACCCTGAATCTGGTCTGAAGCTGCGGATGGATCTGGAGCCGGGGCTGGACGGTGAACCGGCTGCCTGTCGTACTGTGAGGTCCTCAGGGTCTGCTGCAGGAGCCTCACCAGCTCCTGTCGGGGAAAGGGAATTGTATTTGTCAACACAACATTCTACAGGGTCAAGATTATGCCTTAAAATGTGGGACAGTTGCATATTCTCTTTGCTGGAATTTTACTTGAATAACTGCAGCGCGTAATTACTTTGGACATCATTTTTATTCCTTCTCATAATTTCTTACACTTTACACTACTGGGTCCAGAAGCATAACTATATCACCAAACGAGTGTCGCTTCCAAAATGAATTTATCGTTTTCTGTCATAACATATATCGTAGAAGTAACAATAGCCCATTTTTTATTATTAACAATAAACTATTTAACTACAATATGTTCAAGGAGAGTTTGGCTATCTCAGCTAAAATGAAGACCACTGTCATTAAAAATGAAAGAACCTTTTTATAATGATCTATTATATAACAATCACAATTATCTTATACTTCATGGTAAAAACATAGTCCCAATTTTCATTTTATTTTATTGTTACTGTTTTTCAAGTAATTTGAATGCTTCAGGGAGTGTGTTTTCCCCTCTCTACCAAATCATTTGCTGAAAGAAGCCCTGCTAGTTCACACTGTTTGACACAGGCCATCTAAGCAGCACAACAGCCCGAACAATGCACAGATAACCAGCTGCATGTAATGACAGAGCATGAGACTAAATAACAGAAGTTGAGCGTGTATATTATTAGGGGTATACTGTGACGAAAGTGCAGATACTTGGCTCACATATTTGCACAAGTGTGTGTGACCTACACTCAAGCATACACACCCACTTGCATGTCATGGTCACACATTAGTAGATAAACTAACTGTGACAAACACAAACAGTTTTCATTGCCAAGCGTTACCTAACATTGTGGATGGCAAGGTAAAAATAAACTGTCCAGACAGAGGAATGACAATTAATGAAATTAGAAAAACATTTCTTTCTTTGCAATGTTACAAAAAAAAAGTCTAGATCCAACATTACCTGAAGGCCATAAATCAATATTATTACTAACACAATGTCTGCTTTAGTCCATACGAGCTAAGCAGAACCAGGAATGACTGAACATATCCAATAACACTAACGCAGATTCAACCAACTGAATCACTTCCTCCATTAACGTTTGATGCCAGTGAGCCATATCACAGGGAAGCATATACTCACACATTACATATTTATCTGGTTAATGTTGTAGCAATTGTGACCAGTTTGCTAGTTTAAAACACTGAAACAAGAACAAAGAGCAATGGGAAGGAACGTCACAAATGTGATTGTTGTTGAAAGAACTGCAGTTTCCTCAGTCCTCTCTAAAGCATGACTAATCATTTGCTGTCTCCCTGTATTAGTGAGAGCATCAGGATTACACCAAACTGCTCAGTCAGACACCATGCGTGTGCTGAATAAACTAAAGTGTTAGCAAAACCACTTGAGTCAACCTGGTATACATCCTAAGATAATACACACATTAAGTCAATTCAGCGTTTACAGTTTTTCTACATTAATTTGTAGGTAACAAGACCCTCTGAATGAAGCTCTAAACATTAAAGTGAATACTACAAACCAAAAACATGTCTTTTAGTGAATCACAATCTAAATATTTGTAACCATTTCCCCGTACTCTTTCTGTAGACTCTACCCCAGAATGTTTTCATATGATCAACATATGTGAAATAACAGGATAGTTGTACCTTCTGACTGGCCAGTTCCTCTCTGAGATTGGCGTGATCCTGCTGCATGCGGCTCAGCTCTTCCTGCTGGCTCTGGAGGCGAAGCTGCATCTCCAAAGGTTTGTTGCCGTTACACTCCACCGGGGAGTTCTCTGCACTGCGCGTCTCTGTGGAGCGCCCGAACCTCCCAGAGCCCATCTTGTCTCTGAGCAAAGACTTCCTGGGTCGCGCTGAGTTGCGCACAAAGTCGAATGTAAACGCTGACCCAAAGGAATCTGAGAGAGGAGAGATAAATACGTAATTAAAATTAGTGACTTGTGTTGAGCAGACAGAATCTCTTGGGAATAATGCATTGTTTGTCAGAGTATTGAGCAAATGAGTGGAGCAATAAAAGACAGTTCTTTTCTCTGGGGGATGTAACTGAGTATGTCCAGAGGAAGCAGGGAGTGGACGTACTTCTGTGAGTGTCTGGAGGATGTTTCTGTTCGGCGAAGTCCTTGGCTGGAGTGTCCACGATCTCCCACTCCTCCGCACTGTTGCTGCTGTTGGTGTAAAACATACTGCGTCTGCTCTCACCTCCTCTGCCCGGCCGCAGATAAGACATGGAGTTCCTGAGAGAACAGAAACCAGAAGTAAGGATGAGTAAGACCATGACTGTGAGGCTGTCGTGCTGCTGGACATTAAGAGTCTGCTACTATGTAGAAGATTTTCAAATGAACAGGGGTCAAGGGCAAACTTGTGCTGCTACTTTGTAAATGGTAACATTAGCACAAACGGTCTTTGTTGAGGTCTTTACACTTTTCCCACAGGCATTGGCAACAGAACTGTAGCTGTACACAATGCAACACACAATACAGGTAGAGATGTCCAGCTTTCACTTGAAAGGAGAGTATAATTTACACATAGGGCTTTCTTAAAAACAAACATAAACGGAAGGCATTCTTTATCGCAAACATAAAAAGGGCCTATAAGCCCGTAGAGACTGATGTCTTCACACTTTTAAATGTGAGACCTCTGCAACCACACGGTTATTTGTGTGCAGCTGCATGAGCTTCAAGCCTTTCTCTCACCTCATACATATAAGAGGTGCTACAGCAAAGTGTGTTGTTGTAAGACATTTCTGCCCTGATCATAAGTTACAACTGATAAAAGTCAATGTATTTCAAAACAAGAGATATCATCATAAAAATAAATGCTATAAGAATGAATGCTCCATGAATCATGTGCAACTCTCTTCTTATCAGAGATACAAAGCAAATTCCAAAACATGTCACATTTTGAGCATTTCAGTGTTTTGCTTCATTTGAATAGACGTGTTGTACGGCCCAGAAAGGGAACTGTTGATGGTTGCAAACTAGAACAACTAGTGAGCTATGGATACAATAATTTCCTCTCCTGGAGTGAACCTCAGGAACAACTAAAGAGGTAGCTTTGTTAATTTATTTCGGGGCACAAAGCAGATAAAACTGGTTGTGCCAGTTTGACAGGAAGTCAAAACAAACACAAAATCATAATCATTGTTCAGCCGTACCTGAGTTCTGTACCGAAGTTTCTGATGGAGAAGTTGAGGGGGTTTGTCGACCCGGCAGAAGGCCCCCCCCGGGCTGACTGGATCCCCACCATCCCTCCACCATCTGTTTCTGTCTCCAGAGAAAAGTCGTGGCGGACCTTCTCCATGCTTTCACTTAGCTTCTCAAAGACGAGCGCATCTGAAATGACATTAAAATTCATTTTAAGAACATGATTATAATAACTCATTACTCATATCACGAGAACTGTTTATCAGGACCGCTGCTTTATCATCCATTCGTTGAGGAAATTATATTATCATGACACTGAATGGTAACGAAATAAGGCAACATTTAGAGTTACCCAGAAATGCCATTTACAACAGGGTGGATGTATGTGGTTTCTCTAACCATGAGGAAATACAGTATGTAGCATTTCTGAGTCAACAAAAGTTTCCTCTTTGTATGAAATGAGTTGGTTAAGTAAGGGAACATTTTATAAAGGCGAACCAACTCCACAGAAATGTTGTTCAAAGTGGGAACTACATACTGTAGCTGTTGTGACATTGCAATTAAGAAGGACTTTGTTCAAACTCATTGTGTACTGATTAAACATTTCAGCTTACATCTTCAAAAAAAGAAAAACTAATCCTGCCAGCCTCTCTAAAGCTGTGCCTGCTTTATTAGTATGGCTAAATTAGTCCCGCATTTAAAGCATCGGTTGTTTTGATGCTCTGTATCCTTTTACTATTTTAACAGATATTCCTGCATCTTGTTTATAGTGTGAAGAGAAGCTTAGGCATTTTGATCTTTCACTAGTAGCCATGCAAAAAGAGCAACATAAAACATTTAACATCCTCTGTGAGAGAAAATTCCAGTTAAGGAGATTACTAATTTCACAAATTTCTCTTGCACACGAAACATTTCATCACAGCTCGCTGACAAAAGGTCAAGAACTTCTAAGACGAAGAACAACCCAGGGTGTCAATTTTATGTATAAAATATAAAACATTTGAAGTACTTTTAAGCCCTTTATAATTCTACTTTTGTTTTGTTTGAGGTATTTGAGGTAATCTGTCTTGTTTGAGGCTGTACAATGTTTAAACTTTATGTATTTTATACAAATAAACAATATCAAGTATAAACATATGTTTAACTAAATACCTTTAAAATGTTGTAAACACAAAGTTAACATTAGTGTTTTGTTTTTTATTATTTAAGAAGAAAAACATTAGTCATGCATGTAATGACAGGAAAAGGAAGAGGCTTTTTACAGCTCATTTCCCCTCAGCTACAGCAGTTTAAACAAATTAAACTGTAAGTGTGCCTTTACTGGCCCGAGAGTAAGAAGCTATTCCTTGATATTATGATAACTTATTTCCTAAAATACAATGTCTTTTCTGATGTTATAATATTAACTACTTTGGTCCCAGTTCAGAACTGAAATCGTTTTTTTAAACTCTCTTTCCCTGGATTTTTTATTTCCTTCAAAATGTCATATTTTAGTCTCTTTTTACAGAATATCCTGGACTGCTTGAACATGATGTCAAATCTTTGACAGAAATGATGGGATCAGAACAGCTGTATAACCCCAAAAAATAAAAACAAGCCAAATCCATAAAGTGCAGCAACAAACACTGATTTAAAGATATTATGCTCAATCTATCTTTCAGTCAAACCATGTGACTAACATGTCTATCTTCATAACGGTCGAGGGTCAACACCTAGAATGTGAAAAGTCCACAGAAGCGTCATGCTTACAGTGTCTTTTCCCAGGAAGTAGAATATCAAAACTTTGGTTCACACACATTGTTTGGATAGCCATAACACCTTATAGTGGTATTGATGGTGTTACAATTATATTACACTGAGTATTTATATTGTATGTACATCCTCTTTGTGGTTTATAATGTAAATGCTTTTAGGCTGTCTTTATTCTATCATATAACAGTGGCAGCTACATGTGAAAACCCTTGAAGTTCACACAGTGAGATTTTTTAGTGAGTGCATTTAAATGAAACACACCCCAGATAAAGTAGATGTGAACTCCTTTCTTTAGCTGTATCTTTGATTTCTCATGTACTCGATGCTTGACTAACCACTCCTATCAGATCCACTCCTATTTGCTCCTTCAGTAGTTACCCAGGAACCTGGCGACAAAATAACTTGACTTGTGTAAATATTAATCTCTCAGATACAGGTGTTTACTTTTAGCCTTATCACAAGGTAACCAAGCTGTGAAAATGAGTTTCCATACACACACATGTATGTTTGTGTGCATGTATGTGTCTACCTTCTTTGCCTACGAGGCCGGTGGGGGGGTAGGCCATAGTCGGGGAGCTCCAGCTGTCTCTCCGACCGGAGACTCGTGTGTTGCTGTACTCCCAACGCTTCTGCTGTAACTGCTGGAGCCAGAAATGCATCACCTGCCTGCTGGGGGCCTTTAAAAAACACACAAATACACACAATTTACTAACATGGGAAATATGATTTTAGCCATAAAAGCTACAAAGGCAATGCAATCTTTAACATTGATATCAATACAGCATGGCAAGGAAAAGGAGAGCATCTGTGGAATCAAACAAAGCATATGAAACAGCCTAAGTGCACTTTAAATAGCAGGTTTGTTTGTTTATTTATTTATTTAAAAAGGACAGTGCACATTAATCCACATTGCTGTAAATGAGCCAGTATTAGCCAGCAGGCTAATTTTCAACTGTTGTCCTTGGCAAGATGTTAAATAACCACAAGGTTACTCTTCGGATCCGTCATGTGAATGAGAGCAGGCGCTGGTTTCAGTCTCAGTTCCAGCCTCAGGCACTGCAAGCTGTTTGGTATTAGCCATTCACACCATATGCTGAAAATGTTCCAGACTCTAGCGAGCAGCTGGCTGAGTGAGCCCAGAGCTACCTGTCATAGTCACATGATGGCAGAGAATACACCATCATCACATGAGAGGACCCTTTCAAAAGCTGTGGGGTCATAGGGGCAGATGAGCTCATGTGCATGAATACCCTAAAATAGTTTATCCATGTAAACAGTGCAATCAGCTGATTAATGTGCTGATTAAGCTCTTGTTTGGCAAACATGATACACGCATATTGGATTTTTTTTCAGAATGAGAATCAGAAACAGGTTTATTGCCCTAGGTTTACACATACAAGGAGTTGTCTTGGTGTATACATAAACAGTCAAAGAAGATACATTGTAGGAAAAGGACCAATAAATAAAACAATTAAAATAAACCTAATAACATTAATATATAGTATACATATTTACATGAAATATAGATATACCAAAAAATATTTGCAGTTTTGGTATGAAAGTTAGAAAGCCTTGTAGATATTAAAATCGAGCTTTTCTTTAAAAGTTGTCAAATCACAGCATGTAAGCAGAAGTATTTTGCATATCCAACTTAAATCAAAGCTGGGAATAACACTAAGTAAGAATGGGTGTGTCTGCCTTTTTCCACAATAAGAAAGGAAGTGACAAATGACAGCAAAGCAGAGCAACACATGCTGAAAAGTTGCTACCTTCAGCAGGAACTCCTTCCCGGCGGTGCGGATCTCAAACTGGCCCTCTTCCCCCTCCACATCGTAGCTGAAGCTCGCATCGCCGATTTCGATGTGCCCGAGCGGCAAGGCATCTTGGGGAGTCTTGAAGTAATACAAGTAACATTTCCTCGGATCGTACACGAACCATCTCGGCTTGTACCCCCTCAGAGGCCCTTTGCCGGACAGTTTGTTCAGGTATCCACACAGTTTGGAGGCCTGCTCCTTCGCTGCGTCGCTGTCGGCCACTTCCACAGATCTGGAGGCAACAATCCGAGAAGCTCTACAGGAGTTTGCTTCGCTGCCATCCTCCTCTTCGTGCATCTTTCCTCAAAGTTTCTTCTTCGTGCAGCGAAGCGGATGCCCACTCCTGTTTCCATCCGCATGACTGCCTGCCCCTTAAAGAGAGGAGCCTGGGAGATGTAGTTTTGTGTCAATGGGTACGTGGTTGTGATTGTGCATGAGACAGCAGTTACGCAGGGTGGTGCTGTTGGACCAGATGTGCAACCTGAGATGCTTTCACTGTTGCAGATTACAACAATCTACTGTAGGCCTATAGTAGAAGTAAACGAAAACGCAACACATTTCTGGTGTTAAAATAAAGATGTATTACAATTATAAAATTGACAAACTAAAATTCCCATAACTGCAGATAAAGTACTGAAACATCCTCAAAATTAGAGATATTTAATGACATACAAATACTTGTTGAAACCGGGTTCTACTCTTTGTATTTTAAACATCTATGGTATTCCCCCAAAGAGCCATATACAGCATGCAAATCAGAACTACTGGAAATCTTAATATAAAAATAATTAAAATATCAGTAAAACATACCTTAAGTAGAAAATACTTGTTAAGGCGAGACACCCCAGGTGAATAGGGTAATTTTTTTAACTTAAAGGTATCAGCTAGACATTTCTCCAGTTAATTACTTACAATAAGGCAATTGTCTTTTTTATTACAAGTTTTCTGAAATAGCATGTTTAAATATGCAAATTATCCATTATGTCATCAAATATGTGCATATTTTAACACATTTCAGGAATCGAAATCTGAACTTTGGATAAAGCCAGGTTCAAAATTCTTGTTTCATTTTGTAGTCATATTAGTATCTAAGGCTTTTACAGAAGGGATTTTGGATATCTCTTTTTATCACTCCATAAATCAGAAAATACTGTCAACAGCCCTAAAATATCAATTTTTGCCATGTTTTTAGGTATACAATGTTGTATAATTCAGGCTATGAATGATATATGAACAAACCCTTCTGTAAAAGCCTTCATAATATTGATAGGAATATAACTGGAAGGTTTGGTGTGGATACCTGCTACTGAAGTTGAAATTTCGAACTCAGAGTAGGAAGAAAAAACTCTATTTTGAAGAAAACGTACCTTTAAAGATTACCAGTGAGGCGCTAGCTAAGCCCTCCTGTTCTTGGATGACAGCTTGCGCCTCGAAGCTCTCCGTGAAGGTATTTCATGTTCGGGGTCATTTCTTTTTTGTATAATCTTGCTTCGTGCAAGGGATAATTGTTGTCATCTTCTCTGTAAACTTTTTTTTCGCCGTTCTTTTGCCATTTTGAGATTTACATTTCTAGCGGAAAGCTAACCAGGAAGTGTTTTAGCACACTACGTGACGCATCTGAACGAATCACGTTGTCTGAAATTGACACCAGCCAATGAGATTTCGTTTCTTGGTTTAAGACCCCTTTGTGCTTTCCCGATTGGTTGCTGATACAAAGGAAATGACCATATTTGGATCCGATTAGATTGTGCAGGAGAGACACAGCTTTCCAACGATATCTCTGTTGACATGGTGCACATAGCGGTCGCGGTACTTTATGTTACGTTAGAAAGCTAACTTTTGGTGAATTTAGGAGAAATCTACTGACGCAAATAGACAAACTATAGTCAAATAAACACTTAAATGTGTATTTTGTACGTTTTCCTTCCAAAAGCCTGAAAGAAAACATGTTATAGAATCAAAATAGCACAAAATCTCAAAATTGACCAGTGCTTGAAAAACGATGTTTTTGCCTGCCGTGTCTCGCCTTAAGTAGAATGGGTCCTGTCTTTATAACGTTATTATAATATTCTATTAGTTTTACTGATGCAATAACATACAGTAACATTAACTTTATGGGAAGAAAATGTGTTTTATTTATATACTTTTGGGGAGTTTAATCTATATTACAACTTGTCTCTAAACTGTCACCTGTACTGTCACCAATCCAATTGAGGCACAGAAAAAGAGAACAATGGACATTTCCATCCAAAGTATGCAGTGGTAACAGTTCAATAAAAGTTCAATACCTACAACAGTGTATCGCTGTAAAAAAAGTGTATCGCTGTAAAAAAATAACTATACATCTGTTCTTTGTAGGAGCAACAGTGATCCATAAATCACTCCTGTCTACATATATGTTATCACCTTTAATGTATGATCTGTTATGCTAACATGCACTTAACTATATGCTATTCACAGAGAGACCCATGAAACAGAGGGCTATAACAGAACAGTGTGTCTGGTTGGGGGCTCCAAGTTAACTTTTGGAGCTGCAGAAATGAACACCCGGTTAAACATGTTGATTGATGGTTAGACATGAACGTGCTATGACTGGTCTTGTGCTTAGATATATGTATATAATTGTTCCTTTTGACAAGTGGGCCACTTGTGTTTTGCTACAAGTGACATTATTATATTTGTCAGATTGAACTTTGGCTCACTGAGAAGTTGTTGTTTGTGGGATGCGTGTTTTCCACTCAGATTTAAAGGTGAAAGTTTTGATCTATTGACATTTAACCAACAACAACTGTCTCGTGACCTTTAGAAAGCCCACATCCCTCTCATAGGTATGTCCCCAGAACAATGATAAATATATTTTGTCTGGTGTGATAGCTCTTCCTTGTATATATTACCTCAAACCTGATGTAGATAAGATAAGCTGATCACACTGTTAAGGTATGATATGCATTTTATATTGAATCTTTACAAGCACGGAAACAGTGATAACATTTGACCTCAATCCTCTTAACACCCCCAAAGGAGCACATAGTGACTCACAAAGACAGCGCTGTTGTGATGATGTTGAAATTCTACACCGTTGTACTGTAGCAATACTTAATCATACATGGAACATAACAGTTCACATGGGGCAGACGTTGGCAAACATTTCCATTATATTAAAATGGCAGGAAACTCAGTAGACATTCAGAACCACATTGATCACACTTTCAGAGACAAGTTCAATTATCTGGAAAAGATGGCGGTATATTTCCTGAGATCAGAGCACAGGAGAAATGTTATTGTTAATAAGTGCTGAGACCTCCGGCTCATCCCGCTCACGATGACACATACTATTTTCGGTTATTGTCTCTCCCCCACAGGCACTTGTTACAGCTCATCACTGAGCAGAAACCAACAGAAACATGATTTATGAGAACTGTCTCATCCCTGGGAGTAATGAGTACAAAAAAAAAACATGCTGGGAAATCTGTCATACTATGAGAGTTTTTTCCATGCCCTCTTAAATCTCTGAATTTTCCCAAACATGTCCACTCTTTTGAATGTGCTCCTGCTTTGTGAGCTTTGATCTGAGTTCCTTGCCAGCCCTTGTCAGAAAACTGTTGACGCAACTTATTTCCCACAATCAGACAGTCTGTGGGTAAAACATCTCCTCTTGCAGACCAACACACTCGTGTGCATAGAAACCACAGTTTCTGCACAGCTTACTTTCCATTTCTCTTCAGGAAGCTCCTGCTTTGTTCAGAGGGGCGTCTTAGACGTCTGTGACATGCAAATGAGCTGTATGAACTGTGTTGTGCCGTGCAAAGCGGAAACGCTTTCCAAGTCGGTGGAAAAATGTGTGTAATTGTAAATGTCATCAGTCTATATCTCGCATGTACAGTTATACTCCCTCAGAATACCTTCTGTTTGAGATAAACGGCTGACAGACATTGAGAGGAGCTTTTTAACGTTTGCTGAAATGACACCCGGTTCAAACCGCACACTCTCCAGGAAAGGTATGTACACATTTATCACTGTACAGTGTCTTCGCTTCACATTGAACTCATAATTAAGCCTTCATCCATCTTTTTCTAGGGATTGAAACAAATTGCTGCATACTCTATAGAAAACCCAAAGCCAGGTGTGAGAAGATCTGCCACTTTACAGAGTCAAGGACAAAGGATCAGAGACATATAAAATCTCCCTGCTTCAGGAACTGTCTGACTTTTTGCTTCAAGGTAAGTACTGTTACCAGATCACCATGAATGGTCCCTAACTGCCTTAATGACTAACTTATTTCCGTTGATCTACATGCAAAGTAAGTTTGCCTAACATCACATTACAGCATAGGAGCTCATTGCCTCATTTATTTAGTGAGAATGGACTTTTGACATTATGGATTTGCAGGTTTTATCCACCCCCAAAAAGGTTGTAATTTAACATTTAAGAAATGTTGTATGGTGTATGTTTTAAAAAAAAGTACAGAAATGAATGATGTGGTGTTTCCTGCAACAAATAGAATAGTAAGCTGCCTTTATTCTCTGGTTGACGCCTCCTGGAAAATAAGCAAATGAGACGGTTAAAATACACCCTGACTGTTTGGGAAATGAATGCATGTTGTATTCAGCGGCTCTCTGTGTGGCTTTCTTTAGGAGCGGGCGAGGATGGAGCAAAGGGAACCAGCACTGGATGTTGAAGGGACTGAAGGAGGACTCAGGGAACTGGCCTCAAAGTGGTTTATAGACACTCAGTTACCAAACATCGTCCAAAACGGCTTCTTCCCCAGCTGGTTCCGCGGCTTCATCACAAGAAAGTGAGTGTTCATTCAGTAATTTGGATTTTGTGGGGTTAAAAATAAACTGTAATGCTCATTATTAGAATAATTTGTTTTTTTAAGTACTACTAAATCATGTTTTTTGTAACTATATATAACTCGATACAACTCAATACTATACAGTGTGGTAAAACATGACCTGCTGCACTTTTAATTAATTAATTTATTAAGCAAAAACTATTTTATTTAAGCTTTATCTTTTACGATGAGCACTATCAGTCTATGAGTCGGAGTTTTAATCAGATGCAGTGACAATTGATACAAAGCAGACATTTATAGATACATACATAATCAAAAGGGACGAATTTGCCAGAGTCTGTGCATTGGTAAATGACAGTTTTACGGAAATTACCTGAAACAAAATGGATCTTCCTTTGATGGAATGTAATTTTCTCGGGAAATTACGTGACCCGCCTTTCCCCACTCAAAATCTAGCTCACTGTTCCTGTAAACTCGGGACAAATTAGGCTTTTGGGAAATACTTTTTGAGGTTTTTTAAGGTTATTTGTGTCTATCTACAGGGAGGCAGAGCACATACTCAGAGAAAAGGAGCTGGGATCTTTTCTGATCCGTCTCAGTAAAAAGGCCATCGGATACATTCTGTCTTATACGTGAGTATTGGTTTGCTCTGAAAACCTGTAACCTAAGTCCTACAATGATTGTGTTTTGAAGCAAACTTATTTAGTTGACATGCAGGTTTAAAAGGTTCATTAACACATTGTTGTCCCCCTTTAAACTATAGGTTGTTGTTTGGTGTTTTTTTTTATCTAATTCTTTTTTATTTCCTTCTGCAGAGGCAGGGATCGGTGTCGACATTTTGTGATAAACGAAAATGAATCAGGGCAGTTTGTAGTGTTTGGCGACACTAAAGGGCACGACTCGCTCTATGAGCTCATAGATTACTACCAGACGAACGCCATTCAGCCTTTTGAAGAGTCCCTGGCATCTTCATGTTTTGAGGTAAGACAAAACTCCTCAGTCACTTTATTTAAGTCACATTTGATGGAGAATGAGGATCTAACTGGTGTTTTGTTCTTGCAGGAACTTGACAAAGAGCTGTATGACACCATCCAGGTTAGCCCTAAAGAGAGGCCTGTTCGAGCTATAAAGAACATGCGAACACCACAGATTAACTCAGAGCAGCTTCCTGCACTTCCACCCAGGACACAAGAGGTGAGTACAGTTTTATTTATAATGTATACGTTCCATACCAAATGTTTTTGTATTAACACCCCCAAGCTGACTTTAAGAACCTGGCTTGTTTTGCAAAACAGGAAGTCCCTCCTTTGCCTCGGAGGACCCGAAATCTCGACATTGGTCCGTTGAATGACCTTGAGAAGGTTTTATATGCTCAGTCTAAGAAGCAAAAACCCAGGGAGATACCGAGATCCGAACTCATCTGTCAGGGCAATTTCCCTGGAGATAAACAAGTGAGAGCTGGGAGATCAACAACTCAGGATCAGAACATGAGCAGGAGCAATTCTCCTTCTGGACCAGAGTCTGTTTACTCTGAGCTCAGCCTGCTGGATACCAAGTGCAGGTCTCTACCGCTCCTGAACCACAGCTGTGAGGGAGAGCAGTCTTACAGGCTGAGTGCACCCCCCCTCACGCCACCCAGACTTTCCCCTAAGCCCGTCAGACAAGCCACTTCCTTTAGTCCTCTGCCTGAGGGGTCAGACTCGTGCAGCAGTCAGGATCACATGAGTGACGCTGCTGTTTATCACCTGGCTGGCAGAGCTAGCAGCCCACACCATGCTTCCTCTGGGACTGGATCTTCAGAGCAGCACAGGGGGGCAGTGTACGCTGAGGTCTCAAATGAAGACCACTTCCCTCATACATATGAGCCGATTCCTGGCCACAAGGACACAGACGCACCTGAACCCGACAGCAACACCTACGAACCTCTGGAGGACGTCAGACCCAAACATGGTTACCTCACCTGGGGGTTTAAGGTTAGTAATGTGGGCCAAATGCTTCCATTTTAACACTTCATCCAATTTCATCAATCTGTCTTCTTTGAAATCTCAAATCAAAACTCACCTCTTCAGAACTGTTTTTAACCTTTAATTATTGTTGTATTTTAAATATTTTAAGTATGGTGTTTTAATGTTGTTTTTATGAATTGTGTAAAGTGTCTTTCAGTACCGGGAACAGCACTCTATAAATACAATGTATTATTACTATTCATATTTATTTATTGTTTCACTTTTGCTTTACCTCCTGCAGAATGATAAATGGAAATGGCTGTTCCCTGAAGTCAAGAAGAAATGGTGAAGAGCTTACTTTGCCAACTACTGATGAAATTTTCACCCACTTTCTCTACACTACAGTGGTCCTGCCTTACATTCACTCTGTGAAAGAATATTTGTAATGTGTAAAACCTGGGCCCTCATGTGCATAGTTTAATCAATGACATCTTCTGTCATTTGTATTTCAAATCTATTTATTTAAAGAAACACTGTAGTCTATTTATTTGTGTCTACACCACATTTGAATAAATGACACATGCAAAAAGGAAAACTCATTATTTTCCCAGAGAAAAAAGGGTGTACTGTGTTTTCTACTGATCTTCAAACATATTTTGACTATAGGCTGCTCCCATCAATGTTGCACTTCACTGACAGGAAACTTTATTTGCATGTAGATTACAAACACATGTGTACGGCAGCAACTCAAATGTGTTTCATGATCAGTTTCCAATGCCAGTGAGGAAACGCACCAGGATATTTTAACCCATTATAAAATATTAAACATTTCCGAAGGCAAACAATATTTGGACATATTCCTTCAAACTCTTAGATAAAGATTATACATTGACATATTCTTAAAAACACAAAAGCTAGATATGATCAGTGCCCTATTTTGAATAATTGGGTTTCTGCACCTGGGAATAACTCTGACATGACACATGCACTAGCTTCAGTAAGAGATATGACAAAAAAGGGAAAACCTATAACCTCATTTCTATCATACAGACAGTACAATTTTGCGATGCTGTGGTGAAGAGATTTTCAATACAGTGATGATTGATAACACCGTATAAACACATTTTATATGAACATGACTTGTACCTGTTAACAAATCTCTCTCGGGTAGATTTTAAACTATTTGTAACTATATTCAGTACGTAATGGTTTAAAAAAAGGAAAAATATATAATCATTTAATTACTTATACTGCTTATATAATAAAATAATTGGTAGGGTTAAAACACCACAATCTTAAGAAAAAGTAGCAATGTAGGACATATTGGTACATGACACAGTAGCATTGAGCAGTCAGACCTCCAGCCTAAGGAATAACCTTAAATCACATCAAATTAAAACAGACAAGATCCCATTGAGTGAAATGTGTGAGTTTCACACACTGTCTGTTTACAGGAACAGTTGTGTGCAGTTACGGTTGCTTTACAGCTCCAGTATCACATTGCACCAGAAGCTTCTTAGCTGGAATCATAATTAAACAGATGTTCTCTGTTAGACCAGTAATTAATGGAGCCACACAATCAGCACTGTATTACCCTGAATATTCAATGCCCTCATAAAAGCAACTGGAGATAATGGGGGAATTAACCGGCTGCTCTGATGACTGCACACTGTTTAACTGACTTCAATGTATTCCCCTTTTTAGGTGAATGAAGACACTTAATATTAACTTTTTCCTATATGTTTCATAGCTGTCAGTGTGCATGAGAACACCATCCACCATGTAGCTATATTCATTACAATCATATTTTGGTGTTGATCTGTATGCACGTTATTTTTTCGTCTGCTATAACCATAGACTGTATATATAAATATAACACATAAGATCAAGTTTGAACAATCGACTTGTTGCATTTGTTATTACCATTTGCTAACAGGAAATTATATTGCCTCAAAACACACTTGAGTTTGGATGGTCTATGCTAGGTTTAAAAAAACAAAAAAAACAACGTTTAGCAGCTATTGCACAAAGGTGTAAAGAAGACCCAGACGTGACTCTTAGCAGGAAAAACACAATGTTCTTGCACAGTATGATTCACTGCTACAAGCTGAGCTGAAAACATGCTGTACTGAAACAACATGGCACTCCACGTGTTGCAAAATTGTCACATACAGACCCATGATACAGATACAGGAATCATCAGTCAACATGACCATTCCCTGCAGCTTTCTGGTTTAATGTAACTATGTGTGCAGGATGTTATCATGCTTGCTGACACAGCTCACTCCTAATGACCACTTCCTGCTTAACAAGTTATTAAGGCTTATATGATGGGCTATGCAGAGGCGCAGTCATTTCCTCATCTTTACCATGCACGCTCTTTGATCATCATCATGGGTGGGTGGGTTAAGATAAATGGATATATGGACGGGATATTAATGAACTCATCAAAGTTGCAGGTCAGACCTTTTACTTGAAATGGTTTGTTTTTGGTTTACAAACAGTAAGAGCTCCTGTGTTTAAGTATTATTTCATGCTTTTCTCGGTAACAAGACTGAACCTCACAAATGCATTCATATACAAAAAAATCAAGACAGAAAAAAAAACATTTATTAAAAGTAAGACAAATACCTGAAGTCACATAAAATACTGTAACATGTATATCCAAAAGATGGCTGTATTTGTTATCTTTTGATAATGGCTGAAGCAGAAAAAGCTACCAACATTTGTTCAGACGACAGAGCCCTTCATGTATCTGAAAAACAGTAAGATATGATTGTCGTGATCAGCTCCACAAGCAAAAACACAACCCCAAATGATTAAAAGCAACACACTGCATGTACAAATATTGCATATAAAATATCTGGATGCCCTTAATGCCAATGGTGTGCTTTTATTCACTTCAAGCTTTGCCCTTAACCTTATAAACACTAAATATGTTGTGTGTCATTGTGGGAAGAATTTATATATATATATATTTATATATATTCTGTATCTCATGTACAAGATAGGTAGATGAGCATTTTATGCATTCTTGACTGAGCTTAATATGCATTAATACAAAGTCTGGCTCATTACAGACTTTTTTCATTTATAATATTTTAACTTTAAAATGTGGAAAGAATAGTCTGTTTCTTCCAACAAGAGACCAGTCCTTGCCAAGCCCTTTTATAGCTGGTAAAAGGAAAATACATTTTCATTTGCAATAAAAAAAGTCTGTGTCCTTGCAAATGTATTCAGTAATATCCTTTACTGCTAAACAGACTTTACTGAGGCCAGAAAAGTCTGATTGCAAAAAATGTTTGACCATTGGAATGGGAGACAGGTGCAGCTAAAGTCCTGAGGTTCACAACGCTGCCGACCTTTGAACTTACATGGTGCCATCTCAGATTCGTATATGGAAGGTACTGGAAACAAAAGAAGACAATATGAGACAGGATTACTCATAGTGCATGCACAGAAACTGACTCACAGGAATCAGGGAGAGATGTGTTCAGCATTTCAGTGGGGACAGTGAGTGGTGAGTCCATTTGCATATAAATGAATGTACATAGTGGTGCCTCGGGATTAAAGTGATAAGCTGGCAGTTAAACGATGAACATGATTAACAGCCATCTGGGGTTTGAAGACTGAGTAACCAGAGACAAACAGCTCAGAGCACTGCAGCATGAGGGATAATGCCTGATTTTAAAGGCTTATAGCTTGTAATGTAGAATGAGGTGTAAACATTATATTGAAAAAATCCTCAAAATAAGACATGCTTTTTCTTTAGTGTGGTACATTTAATCACCTTAAAAAGTCTGGAGCCCTGGTAATCATGTTTTCAAAGTCAGCATAGGAGAGTTTGTTGTCTCCGTCTAAATCCGCCTCCTCGATGGCTTTCTCGCACACCAGCACCACCTCTTCAGGAGTCAACTCCTCCTTTGTCAGCCTATTCAAAGTCTTTACCAGGTCCTCTTTGCACAGGTAATTATCCACATTGAAATCTGTGAGAAAAAGAGATTAATGGCATTGATTTCTTTATGTAAACAAACAATTTAAATTGAATGTTTTTGGAATGTGTCATTACCGTATATTTTGAAGGCATATATGGCCTTTAGTTCCCTAGGAGCCATTTCACTGAGGACTGAGAACATGTCCACAAATTCATTGAAGCTGAGGTTCCCCATCCCGTCCTCTGAGAACGACTCTACGATCCTGTTGCGGAAAGGATTTTCCTACAGATAGAAGAGATGACAATCTTTACATACATTAGTGGGACTGTTGATACGCATGGAAGTACATGAAAAATCAATATCTTAAAGAATAATAAGGGATTCACATGTTATCAAGCTGTTGTCGGTTTCATACATGATCAGGTATAAACTGGTTAAGTGTTTTCTGCTGATCACAGGTTTCAACTGAAAAAAGCTGACTGTTATTGTGAAGCCAATATTTGTTTTCATGGTTGCTCAACCACAAGCTGCAATCAAAGAATTGATATCACAGGCAATTAGCTGACACAACTTGTAATAAATTCAAACTGAAGGGGCGACCATCAGCAGAGACTTGGAATCTCAGTCATTTATTACCTTTATGCATCTTACTTACTCTTTACCTCCAACCAATATGCACAGTTGTTGCCCAGGAGATGGTTAGCATTTTTAGGCCCTCTAAGGCAATATTGTTTTAAACTTCATAAGACATGTCAGCACAGCATGAGTCAGTCCAATCAACACAGCTAATAAAAACTTCAAATGTATTTATGGTAATGAAGCAGTAGAGTGCTTTGGGTATTGTCTTGGTCTTATGAATGAATCCTGCCTTGAGTGGTCTCCCTCCTCCTCTTCTCCATCCTTACAGGCCGTGCACTCATGTGACAGTTTTACAGGCAAAAGCCAATTATGCCCAGAGGAAGAACACATTATGAGTCTCTGTGCTAAAATCTCAGTGGATAAGAACTCCATGAAAAATGGTGTGTTACTTGAGGGCAGGATAAAGGTGAAGGTAAAGGTGGGTGCAAGGTAATGCAACATGCCATTCCTAAACTGTCTGAATGTTCTTTTCAAATGGCAGGGGCCTCAAATAGGAGAAGATGTGCCCGTCAGTATGGAGAGGCTGAGTGTTTCATGGCACATTAACTTTAATGATCTCACAGAATGTGGTTTAATGCAATCATATCCATGATGCCGATGGTTAAAAATCAATTCTGTCCTCTGACGGAGAGTGTTTATTGATTAGGTGTTGGCCCACATAAGTTGTGGGTGCCATTTTTGTTTTATTGTCCTTACCGCACAATCCAAAATAACTAAACAAAACACATGTACACTGCTGGTGGAAAACAAAGTATGGCAGATCCTTTAGGAAAGCGTTTCAACATAGACAATAATAAGGTACTGTAAAGAAGGATTTACGTTTAATTCTGGCATGTTGACTATTAAGGCTAAAGGCAGTTTACAGTCAGGATCGTTGGTGTAGTCCATGGGGACGAGATGTGGAGCCAATTCATGATATCTGCTGTGCAATCTAGAATAAAGAAAATAACATAATTATATTTATTTTGATGCTTCAGGTGTGCTGTTATTTAGGAAAGAGAATTGACTACCAAAAAACAAGCGTTGCATTTTCAAACACCTGAAACC